ATCTCTAAGTTGGACTTAACATTCAGATTCATATTTTTCTATTATCAAGGAGATTTCATGTTCTAGATGTGGAATTTATAAAAAGTCTAATATACTTGGATTTCGCTTTTGAATATATCTTATTTTAGCGTACAATGGCTCTCCATAACTTTAAAGTCCAATTTAGAGTTAAGTTCCACTAAGGAGCTTTGTGACACACCCCTGTTCTAGCGAGGAAAAGCCCCACTCTTATTATCTTTAATGGTTGTTTCCTCATCAAAATACTAACACGTGAACCAGGCGCGGGGGGGGGGGGGGGGGGGGGGGGGGGGCGACGGGCCCGCGCCCCCCCCCCCCCCACCTATTTTTCTTTTTTTTAATAAAGTTTTCGGGGTCATATACCAAAAAAATTAATGCTCACTCCAGAAATTGTGGTTAAGTGTCAAATTAAAGTTAGTGATTGCAGACTAGATGCAACCTTACCCGTATCTCTTGACGAAATAAAGCCCACATAAATTATTGCCAGGGCATGTCGGAGAACCTCCCCTTCTCCTCTCCATTTCCCACCCCCTCCTTCTCTCTCCCTTTCTTTCCCCATCCCCCACCCTCTCTCTCTCTATCTTTCTCTCTCTCTATCTTTCTCTCTCTCTCACACACACACACGCACATGCACACACACACACACACACACACACACCCCATCTCCGTTTACCCTGACAAGTTTACTCGAGATTGCACTGAACCGGATTATACTCTGGATTTTTTTTCTTCTTTTTCACATCTTTTTATTGTCATGAGGGAAACTATCATTGATTCTTCTTGAAATTAACATACCGATAATTATGTATAGAAGATATTGCGTACAAATAAATCAACACAATGGGCTTTCAGGCTCATAGGATGGTATACAAAATAACATAAAGGAATGAGGACAAGAAGTAGTTCTTCATTGCACGTAAAATTATTGCCGCAAATCCGCTCTCACAGGTCACATGTAATTTCTTACTTGCTGCAAAAAACAAAACAAAAAATCATAAATTACAATATTCATCAATGTGGGATTGTCTAAGTAGATGGAAGAGATCATGTTTCACCCAAAGTGGAATGTACAACAATTAAGGAATATTACATGAAATGATACAAGATTGTATTTATATAAACATGACTATTTTCGCTTTCATCCCCTGCATGTGACATGAATAACAAGGGTTTATGGAAAGAAGAAAAGAGGGAGACAAAAAAACAAAAAAAACATGAAATGGGTTTGATCCTGCTCATCTCTGGGAAATGGATAATGTATGACAACATGACAGGGGTTCAAATGCATGCAAATGAAAATATAAGCCTATTAAAAGCATTGGCCCTGTACTAACATTAATTTGACCCTGGCTTGTCAAATTCTCTACCTAATATGAAACGAAAAATTAAAGCGGCGCTAAACTGCCAGTACAAATGGATAATTACTTTACATACATTTATTAGCGGTAAAAGAAATCTGATCCGAAATTCGTTGAAGTTTATTTGTATCCTGAAATGTAAACCACTACAAATGTGAATAGGGAGTTAGTTTACAAAAGGTATAATTGAAGAATATTCTCAAGGACTTGTCTAAATAACCTTCAGCCATGTTATAGCTCATTTTTTTCTTTTCGCCTGGTAATAGCGAGCAATGAACCACAAATGATCCCTTCCTCTTTAAAATCGCAGAAAGGTACAGAAACCGAACAATATGACATCAAAATAACAGTAATACGTGTACTTCCAATCAAGGCCTTAATTAAGCTACTGACAACCCCAGGGGTTTTTCACAAAGATCCTAAGTCGAACTTAAATATTATGGAGAGCCATTTGTAGCCTCAAAATTAAATATATTCAAAAGCAAAAATCATTTATTTTAGACTTTTCTTAAATTCCGCATAAGACATGAAATCTCCTTGATAAATAGAAAATATGAATGATTTGAATCAACATTTTATGCCTTTTGAAATAACTTTTACAAAATATTACATAGATGCTAACGGCTTTCCATAATTTTTTAGTTCAACTTAATACAAAAATAAACAAAATAAAAAGTTTTCGGCCCCCCCCCCCCACTGAGCGAGATATTGGTCGGCGCGATTTTCACATTTTAGGCCCCCCCTATCGCAAATCCTGGATCCGCCCTTGACGTGAACAATGTATTTGTTATATTGCGGTTTCAAGCTGATGAAGTAACACGATTCCGAATATATTTTTAAAGGTAAAACAAAGTTTTGGGAATTTTGAAATTGGGTGAATATTGATTCTTTACAATTTTGATATATTTGGATGCTCCTGTGGATGTATTATAAGCGCTAGAAAATTTAGCCCCTAAAACACTTCTGCTTTTGAGAAAAATTGCTCCCGGTAAATTTTGATAAATTTCAAATTGCGCTTGTGGCTATACAATGGTAGCTGCGACCATGAAAATCTCAGAATATGTAGTTGCAATATATAATTTGCAAACGGGAAAAGCTTATCGGTCGAATTTAGTGGAGAAACATTGTTTTTATAGCTTAATTAATATCTTGACCTGGAGAGGTCTATACATTTATTATTTTAAAAAAGTGTCCGCTTAACCCCCCCCCCCCCCCCCCTCCCCCAACTTATCGACTTTTCGGCCGGCGCGGTTTTCAAATTTTCGGGAGCAAAATATTTTGGGCCGGATTTTAACCCCCCCCCCCCTTGAAAAAATCCTGCGTACGCCCCTGCGTCCCCCTATACACCCCACCCCGCCCCCGATCTACGCCTATCGCAGAATGGTATTTAAGTAGGGGCGTTGTAATGGGCTCGATAATCACATATACATCAGTATAACGCCAGGTTTTATCTGTATCGTAAGGAAAAAAGCTCTAGCTCTGAATCCACTGGAAACTTTATCTCGGACGTATGCCTATAGCATATAGTCAATAGGTAGGTCCTTTTTAATACAACTATTAATTCCGTCTTTTCGATAAACTATATCTTTTGTCGTCTTTCTTTCCTTTTTTAGATTGTTTCTCTCTTTTGAAATGGATAGCTGCAGGCTGAATGCATACTGATATTTTCGAGGAAAAAAAAACGAAAAACAACAAACAAGGCTACCTAGCTGTTGCTTAAAGCTTATCAACACTAGTGCGGCTAGGAGGGATTAGACCACACAGCGATGTCACTGACAGGTGGCTATCTCATCAACTCAGCTCTCAAATAACATAAACATAGAGGATCATGGGGGACCAACAGCACCGATTGGAGAAGTTTTCTATTTAGAGGGAGCAAGTAGGACAGTGGGGCTTTAATTTGTTGTTTTGAAAGATCCCTTTATTTCTTGAATGTTAATTTTTAATGAAGTCAGTAAATATTAGTGTATGTATACAGATTACACTTACATTACACGATTACACTTTAAAGGCACGCTGTTCTACTTGTAGCTACTTGCTCCCTCTATATAGAAACTTTCCCAATCGGTACCTGTCGGTCCCCCATGATCCTCTTTTTCTTATGTTAAATGAGAGCTGGGTTAATGAGATAGCCACCTGTCACAGTGACCTCGCTGGCTCGTCTAATCCATCTGGCTGAAGTAGTAAAGCCTGCCTTTAATTGATTCATCTATTTCCCTTCATGATTAATTCATTCGTTATTATCATCCGTGATTACTTTGCTGAATTATGCTTTCTTTCAAGGAATTTGCTGGAATCCGTTTTACGAGTCGATAAGTGACCATTTCCAAGGACAATGATGTCTTCTAAATGGCTTTGTGTTGTCATGGCAACCGTCGCTCTATTTGGCAGGTAAAAACAATTAAATTATTTCTCACTAATTGTCTGATGAGAAAAAGAAGGGCATTCACTTTTAAAGAATGATTAAACGTACATTGTATCTCACTAAGAGTGCAATTTGTAGCACCTATACGGGATTTCTTTGAAAAAATGCATCGACATTTTAATCAGCAATATATATTTTGTTTAAGTACTCATTCCAATGGATCTTTATATGTGGTGTTGTACGCAATTCTCTAGATTTCATGTGATCTTTGCTGGAATGCAATGTTTAGTTTCTCTCTCACTCTCTTTCTGTCTCTGTTTCTCTGTCTCTCCCCCTTCTCTCCCTTCTCCTCCCCAGTGTCGGCTATAGGTTTTTCATTTGTTTGTGTTTATATTTTTGGAAGGGAGAGGAGGGGGGGGGGGCGGTGGGAGAGTCAATCCTCCTCAGATATTTTCAAGCTCCAAAAATAAATCGCGAGGCACTTGTAAAAAACAAATCCAAGAATCCACCCCCCCCCCCAAAAAAAAAAAAAAAAAAAATATATATATATATATATATATATATATATAATATATATATATATATAATAATGATAATATATAAATAAATTATTTAAAAATAATAATAATAATGAAAAAAGATGTAATACATAATATCCACCTTGTTCCTTTGTTAAAATTTCAGGGGAGACTGTCTGACTTGTCTCTGTTATGATGATATATACCCACTAACACGCGAGGAATGGCGAGTCCAGAACTGTCCCGTGGATGTCCAGTGTCCAGCCGGTTCTCAGGTCATATGGGATATTTGCGCCTGCTGCAAGAGCGATTGCTCCAAGGTAAGGAACCAGGCCCAAGGAACTATCCTAGAAAATACATGTTTTAGACTGGGGGTGTTTCACAAAGACTAAGATCGACTTTAGGTTCTTTTTAACTATGGCAGGCAGTTCATGCCACTGTATGCTCTCACCATTTACTGGCATTGGTCTCTCAAGGGACGTACAAATCATGGTCACAAATCTACAGAATTTATATTTTTGATAATTCATTATTGAAGGAAAAAAGTATTATCTAAAGATCATGGTGAGAGAAAGCAGTGGCATAAATAGCCTGCCATAGTGAAGTCCAACTTAAAGTCGATCTTAGTCTTTGTAAAACACCCCCCTGGTTTACCTATTTAAATTCATGGATGTTTCGTTCCTGGGGACATAGCGACGAGTTATTATAATACATGCAGGCACGTACGCAGGGGGGGGGGGGGGGTTCAACCCCCCCTTGACTTTGTTTATGTGTATGTTTTGTGTTTTGGAGGACCCCCCCCCCCCCTTTTTTAAAAGTATTTTTAATAAAGAAAAAAAATTAAAAAATAGTGGTATTAAAGCTGACCTTACCCCCCCCCCCCCCCCAACGAAACGAAATATCGATCGACCAAATTTTGGGACAAACAAAAAAAAGTGCTCTTACCCCCCCCCCCCCCCCGGCTTATTCAGCGGTTTGCTGATTTACAAATTTAACCCCCCCCCCCTCGAAAAAAATCCTGTGTACGCGCCTGAATGCATGTACTTGGAATCCAGTACTTGGGATACATTACTTGTTGCTACGTCGGGCAAGACTCGGATAAGCCTTAGGTTGTCAAGAACAACCTTTGTTTAAAAGTATGCATAACATTTGAATATGTTAATAAAGCAGTCTATTCAGTGGCGATCTATAGGGGGAGGGAGCACTTGTCAGACAAATGCAAAATAAGGCAAGCGATCGACCTCAGCTCCTTAAATACCTACCGCTTCTGATGTGCCTTTATGGATACAAAACTTCTCTTTCCAAAAATTGTTATATAATTGTCATCCTTTTTTGTAGTCGTCAAGGAGGCTATATAGATGCTTGGACAAATAAGGGCACCTTTTAAAAGTATTACTCACATAATGCCAGATGGACCCCCTAATCGATTCACCACTAAAATAAGACATTCAGTTTTACTTTTAGTTCATTGTTCAATTCTAAACAAATGGAGAAAAAAACTTAACTACCTAGGACGATTTACCGCAATAATGTAATTAGATCCACCCCACCCCCAATCTAAACCAGAAAACGCCTAGACCTGACCTAAGCGAAGCCTTTACAGAACGTGGATATGCATTGTTTGTCTTCTATATTACATTGATATTTAACATTGCCAAAGATCGCACCCCTCCCCCCCCCCCCGAAAAACCTACACATTTTTATTTATACTTAACTTCCCAGAATAGGCTTGTTTTTTTTCGCCTCGCTTCCCCCCCCCCCCCCCCCCCCCAATCCCCCGGCCCTCGGAAATTTAAGAAAGCCGCGACTTTACTCTTATAATCACCAAATATTCAGTAGATGAAATGAAAGAGAGAAGAAAATGAAGAATATATGTTTCCTTTTGTGAATTGAGATTTGATTTTTCGAGGGTCTGGTGCCCAAATAAGCGTGTACTCATCTGACCTACCAAGCAAACCTGGCGATAATGATGGAAATTATATTAAATCCAACACCCGGAATCATATTCAAAACGTTAAAAAGCTAGTTCTCTTCCGTTATTTATCTCTCTATCTCTCTCTGTGTATGGATCCGGGGTAACTCGGACCTGGGGACAACTCGGCCGCGCTGCAAAAACTGTCATTTTATGTCATTTAACCCTAACCCTAACCCTAACCCTGCAAAAACTGACCGTTTTGGTAGCTGGGCCGAGTTAGCCCGACTTATTTATATATCTCTCTCCTTCCTCCTTTCTCTCTCTCTCTCTCTCTCTCTCTCTATCACGTACATTCTTCACGTCTATACCCAGTTGGAAGGCGATGAGTGTGGTGGTGATTGGGCATGGCCGGTACATGCGGGGATGGATTAGAATGCTACATCGAAGAGCCGGATACTTCCGAGTACAGGCCACCCATAGGCAACTGCGTCCCGCTGAAGCCCACCGCTGCCACCGCGTGAGGAGGCGAGGATGATGCGAATACAGAAGAGACGGGAGAGAAACGGCAAACGAATTAATGAGCCTCGAATTTAAATTCATGCTATGTTCGAATGTCGGGCATATACAGATTTATCACTTTCTTTAAAAATATTACATGCATTGTAACAATAGTTTGTCCCAATATATTTTGAGTCTTTCGATCTCCAGTTCTTTTAAACCCGTTGCATAAACTTACCATTGATAGTAACTTTGCCATCAATGGCAACTACCATGATAACAGGGCTCAACGGCCAATCAAAATCAAGGTTTCCATGGTAGTTGTCATTGATGGCAAATTAGTTACCACAAATGGTAAGTTTTATGCAACGGGGCCCTAGGGCGTTATCCTGAAAAAGAATGTTATTTTTTGTGCCGGTTAGAATTAGGATAAGTCATTGGTTATAATGTCGGTGCAAATCTGCATAAGCTTGCGTTCAGTTAAAAAGAGACGTCTACGCAAGCACGAATGAAAAGTGTGTGTTCAGCTCAATTTGAGTATCTTGTGTATTTTGAACAAATCAGAGTAAATATGAAATGTTCGAAAGCGTTTTCTATTTCATTGTGGATAGATTATATGACGCCAGGGGCGGCGATCCCGGGGGGGGGGGGGACACGTCCCCCCCCCCCCCTCGATTTTTGTAGGGGGATCGTCCCCCCCCCCCCCCGGGAAATTTGAAAAAGTGCATACAAATAATGTACAGCAAATACTGACTAAAGACTGCAACACACTATTAGACTTTGGAGGGCCCAAGAGTGCAGTGTTTAGACAAATACAAATCCAAAAATCTTCTGGCTCGGGAGCTATGCTCTCTTGCATAATATTCTTCAAAATATTCAAGTAAATATTGTAGAAAAGTGAATTGTGAAAAAAAGTATATTGTTTCTTTTCATACTATAGTTTTCCTAAGGAATATAATTTTGTAATAAAACAAAACTTCAAAACCTGTGAGGGAGTAGTTACTTTCGTCACCTTCACCCCTCTCGTTTACTATGCTCACTCACTAGGGCTTGGGCTAGTTGCCCCCCCCCCCCCCCCGATAAAATTCAAACGTGGTTTATTTCTAATTCGATACCAGTGACTAATTTACAAATGTTGCTGAAATGGCATGATTTTCTCTGAGCTTCCGGGGGCTCTGCCCCCTTACCCCTACCAAGGGCCCTAAGACGGGACCCTGGTTGCTCAGCTGACCATAATTAAATGCCTAAAACACCTGAGCTTCCGGGGGCTCCGCCCCCTGGACCCCACCAGGACCCTAAGCGGGCCACTGGAAGCTCATCTGACCATATTCAAAAGCCTAAAACCCTGAGCTTCCGGGGGCTCAGCGCCCTACACCCCACCAAGGGCCCTAAGGCGACCCCTGGATGATCATATGATCATAGTTCATGCCTAAAACCGCTGAGCTTCTGGGAGCTTCGCCCCCTGGACCCCACTCCGATTACGGACCTGCATGCAAGTGTCACAAATAAGGTATCAAAATATGCTCATCTGACCCTTATTAAATGCCTAAAAACTCTGAGCTTCATGGGGCTCCGCCCCTTGACCCCACGCCAATTTACGCGCCACTTGCTTTACTCTATTTGATCGCAAATCCTTTAGGCCCCCCCCCCCCCCCAAATTACGTCACTCCTCCCTCGTTCCTCGCGTTTCCTCCCCCCCCCCCGGTCATGAAAAGAAATCGCCGCCCCTGTATGACGCCCTACATTTTCCTGTAATGAGCATTATCAAAATCAAGATATCATTTGTTGTATTTTGAATAAACTGGAGTATGAATGAAATGTTTGAAAGTGTTTTCTATTACATTGTGGATAGAATGTATGACTTAGTGATCACAGAGAAGGAGAGAAAGAAACAGAAACCATGACAAGAATCAAAAGACAGAAAAAGACAGAGAGCATACAGAGATAGGAAAAGAGAAATAGCCCTACTGCAAAGAAAAAGAGAAAAGGAGAGATAGAGAGCCTGTGAGAGAAGTATAAATGAGAGAGACTGGAGAGACAACTAGATTAAACAGAAACAAATGTAACGACAAGAAAGAACTAGAGAGGATAGATATTTAACAAAAGTACAATTTCTTGTTTTTAATGCAAATTCTACATATTATTACTCAAATCGGATTACAAAATAACATCTTCTTGAAAGACCTTTGAAGTAAGAAAAACTGAAAAAGAAAAGAAATCGATTTCATAATGTAATTCTACTAAAACTTATTTAACCATGACTTCTATTGGAATATAGGTAATGGGTGGGGGAGGAGAGGAATAATTCAATTAACGAATCAGGGCAGCGTTTCACGAAACTGTCTTAGTATAAGTTCGCCGACATCTCATTGAAACATGTGTACTAGAATTAACATGCATTTTAATAGGAAGTCGTTGAACTTATATTTACATGCATACAAATACTTTAGATTAGGAACATTTACATGCACATGTTTCTCTTTGGTAATTTAATTGATTGAAATGACTAAATTAACAACTTTGCAACCATCATTATAATATCAATTTGCTATAACTAAATGGATTCATTTTTATCAAAAAGTACCAAAAATTATCTCACAAACATGATTCACAAACAATATGGCTGCACATCTTTAAGCCACGTCAGATGACTCTGAGATGACCTTCATGTATCATGATTCCTAAACTACATGTACAATTCAGACGGTTATAGTTGCATGAAAACTCATCAAATTATGGCTTACTTCGAATCAACGGTCATTGGGTCAGATCGGGTCATTGGGTCAGATCGGGTGATCGCGTTACAAGATCATGTGATCATGTGAAGATGCACGTTAAAGAAGCGACCTTTCGTATAGGTTTGCCGTTGGGTTTTCACAAAGCATCTGGTAAATTAGACCAGACCAGTTGTAGAAGAGAGGGGTTTATTTCACAAACATTAACCCCGACATTTCGTGAATAAAGGGGCATGTTTTCGTGAATAAAGGGGCATGTTTTCACGAAATGTCGGGTAACGCGACCACCCGACCCGACACGATGACCCGATGATTCGAAGTAAACCTCAACTTATTCACACAAAGGGGCATTTGATATTACATGCCAGTAGAACAGCTTGCATGCTTACACAGAGAATAGTCCTTGTACTAGCCAGAGTTTGTCATTGTTATCATATTTGAACTGAATTTTATCAACAATTTGTATTTTTATCTTGTGGATGAACCCCTTTGCATAAAGACCAGCTTTTAGCTGAAAAGGATGATCCTTCCCATATGTGGAAAATGAATATATAAAATAAATGAATAACAAAAAAAGAAGCTTAAAAAAAAAGCACACTGAAACAATACATTCCTTTTAGCTCTCCCAATACATACATGTAAGGGTACATATCTCAACTTTGAAATTAGTCCAGTGTTTAGTTTTCATAGTACATGTATATCGTTTATTCCATGTAAAATGTATCTGTTTATTATATAGTGAACGGCTTCCTTGAAAAGCAGGCCATTGAATTTTCTTTATTGGCTTGAATGGAACTACACCGAGGAAATACAAAGAACTTCATTAAAATGTAAAAAAGATTCTCAAGGGGAAAATCCAGTTTTCCTGATTTTTTTAATGTGCTCATTGGGTAACTGCTTTCATTAACAGTGTGAAATAATATTCTGTGTATGGTACAATCTTGAAGACAACTGATATTACAGTCCACAATGGAAAAATACAGTTGCACCACAAGACCAACAAAACTATATTATACACTACTCTTCAAAGTACACCAGAAAAGGGCCATGGTTATCACAAATGTTCAAGTTTTGTTATTAAACTTGTGTGGCTTGCCTCCAGAAAAAAATCCTGCATAAAGACTTGGAATATATGCTGAGGAACTGCTTAAGAAGCAACAAAATCTGAAGCTAATTCCTGAATATCTGCAGAAAGATACTATATTATTATCCCTAGTCCAGAATCTGGCAGGTTATTTATAAGTCTATATTCCCTACACTCCCTTCAAGCCACCAATGAAGGCGTTACATGTATTAACAAACTCGTACTTCCAACCTAAGAGCATACAATTTTGTAATCGAGTCCACTGCTCTACCACTGGGCCATTGCGACAGTTTTTAAACTATATATGCAATGAAAAAGGGACTGCTTTCATATGCATCTCAACTGAGAGGTTTCAGGAATGGCTCTTACTTCAATTCACACACTGTCGAACGTCATATTTGCTGCAGGTTTTATTTATGACATTGCAAGAATAGAGTCCTACCATCCTACATAATCTGCAGAAAGGTACAACCGCAACATCAACAAACTATTTCTGCAACTACAACAAACTGCGTTCCCCTCATGAATGAGTTTTCAAATGCGCTGTAAGAACTGTTTTCGTATAAAATCTATCGTTGCACTCTGGGCACGGGAACTCCTTGCCTCCAACATGTGTCCTCATGTGCAGCCTTAGAGAAGATCTCGAGGTATAGCTTTTGTTGCAATCGACACACTCGAAAGGCCTCTCACCGGCATGTGATCTTAAGTGAGCCTGTAAGTCACTTTTTTCTCTAAACGTCTTCCCGCAAAGAGAGCACAGATGAGGTTTTTCCCCGGTATGCGTTCTATGGTGGCTTTTCAGGGAGGCGTTACACGCGAAGGATTTCTCGCACAGACTGCACTTGTAAGGTTTACTACCCGTATGGCTCCTGAGGTGATATGTCAGAGATGATTGATGGAGGAATTTCTTCCCACATGTTGAGCATTCGTACCTACGTTCATCCCTATGCATGCGTAAGTGACCTTTGAGGGCCCGCTTGGACGCTAAGACCACACCACACAGGGGACAGTCCTGCTTTTCTTTCCTGTGGACCTGTAATGAGTTCTGAGTTTCGACTGAAGAGGGAAGGTTTTGCCGCACTCTGGACACTGATGAGAATCTTTACCTGGGTGGGCCATCTCTAGGTGTTCCACGAGGATTGCAACATTGGGAATTTCTCATGACAATGATGACAGCGCACACCCCTCCTCTTCTGGCGGAATGCATCTTCTTGAACTTGGACTTCAAGAAATCCCTCGGTACACTCATCGCATTGATGTGGTTTATCTCCTTCAAGTTTATTCACATATTCCGCTCGGTGTGTTTTCTCGCAATGTGAGCACTTGTAAACGTGTGTTTTCACGTGAGCATCAAAGCGACGTTTGAAGTTGTACTTCTTCGGGCAAAAAGGACACGTGAAAAGTTTCTGTCCTCGGTGTTGAGCCATGTGCCTATCAAAGTGACCCTCTCGAAGAAACGCTTCCCCGCACTCTACACACCAAAATTTCGGTTCTCTCGTATGTAGCTTGATATGTCCCCTGAGATTATTTCTAGAACCAAAAGACTTATTACACTGGGGACAAGAAATGGCCTCTCTCTGGGATGTTTTTGCATGTGGCTACTAAGACCTTGATAGGTGAGAAAATCCTTATCGCAGTCCAAGTAAGTACACTGGTACATCAGCTCCGGATCATGTGCCACATTGTGAGTGTCCATGTGTTCTGCCAACTCCTCCTTTGCATAGTATCCCTTATTACACTTTGGACAATGATACGGTTTGTGGAACTGCATATGACTGTTGACGGCATGTTTTGTGGCAAATCTCTTCCCACATTTATGGCAGGAATGAGTTCCTTCATCAGGTTGACCTGTAAGGGATATGGAGCCATCTGTCTGTAGACCCTCTATCTGAAATGAAGGGTTCCCATCATATTCTAACCCACCACTGTTCAGTTCATCTCTTTCTGATGACACAGAGGAAGTTTCTTTGAGAACACTCTGCAGATTCTTTGAAACCGATGCAGGACTATCATTCTCAACTGCCGTACTTTTAAAACTAGGGTTACTCTCAGCAGGTTCATGTACGTCATGCTCCTGTCCCTCCTGGAGGTCTTTCCCAGGAAAAGTATCTTGTTCTTCACTGACTTCTCTCGTCTCCTGGAACAGAGATGGTTTCGGTTTCTGTATCCTTCTTCGAGGTCTAACGGCTGTATGCTTTTTCTCGTGGTGCCTCAGAGTACTCTCATGTGAAAAGGCTTTGTCGCAAAGAGTGCACTTAAACTGCTTCATTCCATTATGTGTAACAACATGGTTTTTTAGAGATTGTAAATGAAGGTACGTCTTGTCACATAGGGAGCATTTGTACTTCCGTTCTCCCTGGTGCATGCGCAAGTGGCCCTTGAGAGCCCGTTTGGAACCTAACACCATGCCGCATAAAGGACAGTCCTGTTTCTCTTTCCTGTGGACTTGCATGTGGACTGCCAGCTTTAGTTTCAGTGGGAACGTCTTATCACACTCGGGGCACCGATGGCATTCGCTTTCAGGGTGAACCTCAACGACATGTTTTGTTAGATCCACGACCTTCAAAAACCTTTCATAGCAATGAGGACATCGAAAAACATTTACTTTCTTGTAGGAGGAAATATGTTGGACTTTTAGAATTCCTTTATCACACTCAATACACTGATGCGGCCCCTCACTTCCAAGTTCAGTTAAATCCTCATACGGATATGACTTACCACATTGGGAACATTCGTAATTCAGTTCCCCGTTTTTAATGTGTGTTTTCATGTGAAGATCAAACTGACCCTTTGAAATATACTCTTTATGACAAACAGGACACTGAAAGAGCTTCTGTCCCTTGTGTTTAGCCATATGCCTAGCAAAGTGACCCTCTCGAAAAAACCTTCGTCGCACTCAGCGCAATGAAATTTAGCTTCTCTACTATGTAATTTCATATGAGCATTTAGATAGATCTGAGTACCGAAGCCTTTATGGCATTCTGAACATTCAAATGGCTTTTCTTGAGGATGTCCTTGCATATGCCTACTAAGACCTTGGTGGGTGGGAAACTCCTTATCGCAGTCCATGTAGGTACAATGGTACATTATCTTCGGAGCATGCGCCGAATTGTGAGTGTCCATGTGTTCTGCCAACTCTTCCTTTGCATAGTATCCCTTATTACACTTTGGGCAATGATACGGTTTGTGGAACTGCATATGGCTGTTGACGGCTTGTTTGCTGGCAAATCTCTTCCCGCAATGATGGCATGAGTAAGGCCTCTCGCCGGATCGTCCTGGAGTCTGGAGGGAAGGATTTGTATCAAAGGGCAACCAACCATCGCTGTTCTCTTCTACTTGATCTTGATGGTGCGAATAAGACTTACTAAGACTTACATCGGATGTCCGGATGGAAGGTCTTGTCTCGTTGAGCGACGAACCATCATCGATCTCTTCTACTTGGTCTTCATGGTGCGAATAAGACCTACTAAGACGTACATCGGGTGTCCGGATTGAAGCGCTTGTCTTGTTGAGCGACGAACCATCATCGATCTCTTCTACGTGATCTTCATGATGCGAATAAGACCTACTAAGACTTACATCGGGTGTTCGGATGAAAGGTCTTGTCTCGTTGAGCGACCAACTATCATCGATCTCTTCTCTTTGTTCAGTCATTGAAGTTCTTTCCTCAAAGACACTGTACATGGAGCCATTATGTTCCGAAGTCAAGATCTTCTCCTCACCCATCTGATATTGATACACTTGATGACTGTCATTAGCTAGACTCGACTGTCTACTGGTAGCTCTTTCGGCATCCATCCTGCTGGAGCTTCCATGATCTGTAAAGCAAGAACAAAAACAATAAAAATATACAAGAAGACAAAGAATGAATCTGCAAACAAAAGGTGATAACTCACAGGAACATCAAAGGATCAATAAAGGAAAGAGGAAGATCAATTGATCAATAAAATAAAAGATAGCGCTCATTCTTTGAACTATAATGCCCATGCAATATAGTATCATACAATGCTAGACAAAGCAGCCCATTTTCATCACTTTGTATCAGATAATGAAAAATAGCTAGCATGAAGGCGAGGAAATGCCCTTACCCCCCCCCCCCCCTCAGAAAAAGAAAAAAAATAACAAACAAACATAACAGCAATGGTAAAGTCAAGAGGCAGATTCTGCATTTTCTGGATTAAACGTCATCCTTCTATACCTTCTTGTATTGAAGAGTGAACTCTTCCTTCTTGTGTCTTTGAGATGTTTGAGTCAGTCTCTTCTCCTTCGCTGAATAGGTCATGATCTTCTTCCTTGGTATCAATGTGTTCTATTTCTTTCTGGAGTGGTGAACCAACTTCTTGGAGGCATTCTGTCTGGTCCTTGTGCTCACCTCCTTTAGAAGAAAAAAGATAATTCAAAGAACTGATAATCTTAAGTTTTAAATATTAGTTGACTCCACCTTTAAAGAGAAGGTTGAGTTCTGGGAAGAGGTGAACAATAATTTGTGAGCGTTATCGTTGTACATGTATAAAGCAAGTGTGGAAGTAAATCAAATAACAAATATTCCCTGAAAAGCATGGCTCTTTAAAAGCCTTAATATTCTGAATATGGCATGTAACATCATGAAAATCGGCACATATTTTCATGCCACACGTCCCATATACATCTTTCTGTGTAGAGTGCTTGTACGTACGGTACCAAGACTGGGCCAAATTTCTTGTCATTTTGATGATTCCAGAGCCTTGCAGTACACAACAATACTTATATGCTAGATGATCAACCTTTTCTGATTGTTTCCACAACGTTTCTTTCTCAACGCAATCGCATGACCAGAACTCAAATTTTTCTTAAGTACCGTTAGTTGGACATGACGCATACAAATGTATATGAATGGCTGTAAACCTTTCAGGATTACTAATGCAGTAAAATGTGTTGTTCATGAATAAGAAACAAATAATTGAACATAATCATTAGTCTTTACATGTACTTTTGGGCAGATAATATCCCTCTATCTCCTATCTTTTGGGACTGTCAAATCAAGTTACTGAGGCAAACCACAAAATGTGACAATATACCATTTTTTGTAAATTAATACAATTTAATGCACAAGTCTTTAAGTGCCATGTTGCAAATAATTGTATTAATAATAATAATAATAATAGCTAGTTCTTATATAGCGCTTTTCAGGACCGAAGGTTCTCTCAAAGCGCTTTACAGATAGTTATATTATTACCCCGGTCATAGGATTCAGGCTTACCCGCACACAATGTATGCACATTCTCCACTCCCTGGGGAGCATTCCAGCCAGGCGTCTTTTTTACAAGCGCACACTTGCTAATCTAATCTAACCACATTAGCTTTCGCTTTCGTATTTCAGTAGTCAGAATGCGAATTGTATTGTTAACTGTTGCTAGGTCTACATGGCTTATCCTACCTTTAATACAACATGTCATGTACGCAATTCACATTCTGACTATTGAAATACAATATATGCATAACAGGTAAATGAAAATGAATAAATATGTAACAAGCCACAATTTGATGACATTAATAAAAATGGCCGATTGCTCAGTTATTTAAAGGGGATCAAAACTAGCCAGAATATTTATATGGAGTTTACATGTATGTCATGAACTCTGAAAGACTTTGCCTCCTTCCACAATAATTCTTCATAACCCCCTAGTTCATAAAGAGCTAGGGGCAGGGGGTATTCTTTGTACCCCCCCCCCCCCCACCCCCAATATCACCACTCTCATGAACATTTTGAACCTTTCAGTTACTATATTTTGTTACAGCAAGGAAATGGAATATTTGGTCAAAGTTATACAATAATCTTTGACTTCATTATGCCACACAAATGAGCTCCCCATGCCACAGTGTATATACCAAAGGTTTCAAGGTTTAGTAACCGTTAATCGTACTAATGTTTTAAAAAGGGTTGTCATGGAGTTAATCAAGACCGGAAATGGGATATTTTGCAAAGCCGTTGTGTTGCACAAAGGATTCCTTCCTTCAGAATTAGTGCCTATTATATCCCTTATCGTAAGATTGTTGCATTAGGTGTGTACACAACAAGAAAATGAATAGTTTTACTATAAAAGACGTTTCTAGCTGCCGCCTACATCGGAATAGTACATTTTTTATTGCTGACGTCACGCATAGTACCTAGGGAAAAAAGGTACTATGCGTGACGTCAGCCAGCGTACATGATTTCAATGCCTCAGCTCACAGCGCACATGCAATTTGCGCTGTGCGCGTGATAAATTGCACTACACTATACGCAGCGTCAGCTAAACCCTGTTTTTGAGCCGTGCAATTTTCTTTGATTTCTTTTAGATCAGAATGTAAGATGTGAATGTGAGTATAAGGTTCATGTTATTACAGAAGTGTAGGAATAATACAGATGGAAGGGATATAAAAAATATAAAATGACTCATTCTCGGAACAAGCTAAAACTATTCGCTGCGAATAGTTTCAGCTAGATCCTCGAGTGTCATTGTATATTTGTATACCGTTTCGTGCTAATTTGCATGTATGGCAAACGTGTGACTGTGTAGAGACATGAAGAAAGCAACTGAAGTGCAAATCATTTCATCAAAAGTAATCAGTACAAAGAAACAATTTGCATGAACCTATAAGACCTGAATTGTGCATAATGTAGTAATTTAGTATTATTCCCTTTTCAAGGGATTCATCAATATACATTTTAAGACTTATTGATTAAAGGTAAAGACCAGTATTGGAAACGCCCCAATTTCAAAAACTGAGATGGAAGCTCTTATTACCAATCATGTGAAAGAGGATGTTTTGACTACATGATGATGCAATTTTGCCGGGAAACCACCTACTAATTGATATATTTGGTAAATTAGTTTATCTATTGGTGTGTGAGAGATAAACGCACGTGTCGCGCACGTGTGCGTAGTCCCATATACATCTTTCTGTGTACAGTGCTTGTAACTTTACAAAGACTGGGCCAAATTTCTTATCATTTTGATGATTCCAGAACCCTGCAGTACACACCAATACTTATATGCTAGATGATCAACCTTTTCTGATCGATTCCACAACGTTTCTTTCATAATGCAATCACATGACCATAACTGGTCTTTATCTTTAATGGCAATGAAAATAGGCTATTGTTTTAATTAAATGTTCAGCAAGTAGAGTAATACACACATGAAACTAATAGACTGCTGATTGTATATCAAAGATTGAAGAATCTGTTAGCCTTTCTTTGCCAGGAAGAAAATATTGAACAAATTTTTGGGGCTACTTTTCAAGCTTGCCTGCATGAAAATAACACTCATTAAATTTGTTTTGCATTGAACTCTATGCAATTGTTGAGGGGCTCTTTTTGGCATTTCTGGGGCTAATTCGGCCTGAGCCCCTGTGCATTTTTTCCCTGCATGATGATTTTCGCGATAATCATTCCACATTTCTCTGTTTGGCTTAATAACCTGTACATGTAAAACATAAATTATACCCCCAAAATGATTATACACATACCTACAATAGGCGCTCGGCAATTAGATGATGTCTCCCAGCTGGTTTGTGGTTCTTCCTTGATGAATTTGACATTGAAAATCTCCATGTTACCCCTATGCATCATCTCATTCATACTTCATACAGCACCTGAAAGCAAATGATTGATAATTCAGATTACAGTTGAGCCTCGTTATAAGGAGGTCCTTGGGACCATGGAAATTACCTTGTTACATATCACGGTAAAAAAAAAATAAAAATAATAATTAAGAGCTGGGACCGGCAAAATCACCTTGTTATAACAGATACCTTGGGACCATGGAAAATACCTTGATACATGCATGTATATCGGGGTAAACAAACAAAGGATATTAAAGTGAGTGTATCATGGCAAATACGCCATTTACCTTTTCTTTTGGACAACTGCACGTAAACGAATGAACTTGATTAACTGGGTCAGTGTGCGCTAGCGTTCACGAAACAGACCAAAGTTCTCCTCACGCTTCGGTTTTGTGTATGTTGCACGCACGTGAATGCTGCGGTCCTGTCGTCCATTGCCGTATTATACCTGATTGGCCAACGGGAAAGACACATAGTCTCGTCATGATACACTCCCTTTAATTAAGAGCTGGGACCAGTGAAATCACCTTGTTATAAAAGATACCTTGTTATATTAGAGCTCTTTATAATGAGGTTCCACTGTACTATGATCTTCTCCATGAACAATACATGCTCGGCCATTAATAAATAATACCGGTACTTGACAAACACTGGAAGAAGGAGCAATATCATTCACCCTTCTCCCAGTTGACACTCCAATAATGACAATCCTGATATGACCCAGCAAGCAAGGACAGAGGATAATTATGACCTATTCCGCCACAATACAGAATTTTACAGATGTAAAATGACTATGGTGCAAGACCCGGAACCCCCCCCCCCCCCCCCTTGAAGTTAGACCTGGAAGCTTGGCAGCTGGAGACGGCTTTCTTCCAGAAGCTTTGGTATTCAAGGTATTCAAGGTATACACTTACTGTCACTCTAACCAGTAAATAAATAGGTGATAGGGCTTTCGGGTTACTTCCCCAAACCTGGAACTCCTTACCCCTTGTACTCTTGTATGCAGCTTCCACAAGAAGAACTGCATGATGAAAACACATATTTACTAATTTCTCTTAAAGTGGGACTACATTACTTGTAGCTACTTGCGCCCTCTATATAGCAAATAATGCCTAAGCGGTACCTGTTGGTCCCCCATGATCCCTTTTTCTTTTGTTAAGTGAGAGCAGATTAGACGTGATAAACAAAGGGTGCAGAAAGCATACAAGAGAACGTATGTTATGAAAGTGCCCTGCTTCTGTTTCAGCTCCCCGTCTGTGATTTGTTAACCATTTATGCAAAATTGCAAGTGTGGGAAATGAGCGACTGTGCAGAGACAGAGAGAGCCAAAGCGAGCAACTGAACTCTGCCCAAACCTTGCAGCCTCTCAACCATAGCTTGTCTGAGTACATACATGTATATGTACCTCTTTACAGAGTATTATCGTACTATACTGGGGTGTGTGCAGGTGGACCACTACTCTTATAGGAATAGTGCAGTGGGTTCTTAACGCGCAAAAGTAGTGACTCTTCTCTACACGGGGCCTCCATTTAACGTCCTATCTGAGGGATGGAGTGTTATCCACGTAACATAGCCTGCGTCTATGAACAAGGGGAAGGGCACGTTAACACACAACGCAGGCTTCAGTCATCCGCCTGGGTGGTCGACAGGCAGACGTTTTACCGACTGAGCCAACTCGTTTCCTAGCTGCGGGATCACTACTCATGGGCATGGCCATAGTACTGTAGGCCCATCATGCCCATAGTGCAGTGTGCATCCCATGCATGGATTATTCTATCGTTGTGGCATGCATCGATTAGTAACATGGGAGATATTTTACCATATAAATGTTCATGTACAAAGTCATTGTCTCTGTACAAAATCAACAGAACAAAACATGTCAAAACTAGACCGAAAGATTCAGTCTCTGATATTGACGGTTGTTCCGCTGAGACTGCATCTGATCTGGCTCCACTGTCACTGATCGCCTTGGAAGGTTGACAAATGTCAGTGTTTCAAAAAGAATTCCCAAGGCCCAATACGGCCAGTAGGCAATACCAGACAGTTATTTTTGTCTAGTCAAAACAAAAAGAAAAGAAACATAGGTCTACACACAATTCACAAAGGAACTTCATTATTCATTAATTTCAACTTTGCTAGCTGCATGATAAAAAAAAATCATAGATCTATGTATCGATCGATGCACATGATAACTCAAATCTCACCTCTCAATACTCAAATTGCATTGTCTCAAGACAATAAAAGTGAAGACTGTAAACTTCAATTTTCGGCTCGGGCTCAAAATTCAAGTTTAGGCTCTGCAGCATCCGGTCATATCAGAGTCGAGGTACTCAGAGGCGGCGAATGGAATAGCGGGCAGCTGACGATGATCTTCCCCTGAGAGTCGGGGGCGAGTCCCATGTAGCATACGCCGCGCCTGTCAGGCTTGGATTTGATATTGAGTCCAACTCCAAGCCTTGTTTTCTGCAGTGCTGCTAACTTTTGAAAATCATTGGTTTTCATTAATTTTGACAGGAACCTTCAGCTGCAGATAGTCTGGATTCAACAACGGGTAACAAAAACTGCTAATCCCGAGAAGAAAAACGCGTTGATCCTTCAAACTTGTTGTGCACCGAGGTCGAGTGGTTGTGTAGTACGCGGGCGGCCGGGCGCTCGTAACTCATGCGTTACGCAGAAGGGGATCCCCCAACCAGCAATTTCCTCCTCCGTTTCGAGCAGAAGGGGTCGGGTTTGTTATTGTTGTTGGTGTTGATGTTTTTTTTTTGGGGGGGGGGGGGGGTGGGGGGAAGAGAAACAAAATTACTAGTCATTCGCCAAAAGTTGCCCCTCTTATTTTGCTGTTTTCTTTAAACTATAACCAGACGTTGTGGCCCGAATTCACAAAGCAAGGTTTAGCTCAGACCAAGGTTTAAGTTTAAACCTCCTTTTGTTTCGCCAAACCTCCTTTTGTTATTTATAAACCTGGTTTGTAAATAACAAAAGGAGGTTTGGCGAAACAAAAGGAGGTTTAAACTTAAACCTTGGTCTGAGCTAAACCTTGCTTTGTGAATTCGGGCCTGTGTGTCCGAACAAGCTAGTTCGGTTTATATATCCTGACAGTTGTTACGAAGGTAGGCCTATATTACTATTAGTAAAGATTATTATTATTATTATAAATTGGAGAAGTTTACATGCAATTTAATAATATAACTTATATAAGACATTATTCTAGATGATAATATGTAGGATGCTTTTTGATGCATATATTTGTCAGGGATATTATGGCCACGTGATTGTTTATTAGAATTCCCCAAGCACTACGCCCTTTTCTGTTTTAGACTTTTTTTTTTCTTCTTGATAAAGTACGCTATGTCATATTCATCAGATATGTAGTATAGTATGACTAAATAAACCGTATTTATTTTCGTCATCATAACGCTCACTTATAGGATATGGCTGGTCTAGCTAGGTTAAAAAAAGTTGCAGCCCTGGAAGCCCCCCCCCCCCCAACTCGGTGTTATATAGGGTACGTATATGCTTGTTCCCTTGGATGCGCCCCCTCTCTCAGGCTGCCAACATTTCTGACCCCCCCCCCCCCCTTCGCTGCCTTTATGGAGACCCCCTAAATCCAGAAAACTGCTCAATGTAGGCCTACCCCCTATCTATGATATTCAAGATACATGTATTTCATATAAAACCTTTTTTTAATTTCTCAGGAGTCCATATAGAAAGAAAGAAAAACAACCCCCTTTTAATATTTTATAAATCCCTTTTGAAATTTCTCATGAATCCAGAAAGAGAAAAAAAAACAACCCTTTTTAAAGAAAATCTCTGGGTAAAAAGTTGAATACACCCCCTTTTTGTTTACAGTTCTTGGGCCACAAAGTACCCCTAGCGCTACTCCTCCCTCCCCCCTCCCCCCCCCCCCAAAAAAAAAAAAAAATTGTGAGAAAATATTTTGCTGTGAATAAGCGAGGGGAGGGGTAGTGAGCACTATTTTTTTTTACTCCACACACCACCACCCCCCTTCCCTCCCTTGAAAGAAACAAAACAAAAACGGTTTTAAAGGTGTTTTTAACTTCTTTTTGTACCCTGGGGTGGGGTCCGTGCCTCCATCCCCTATGGCGGATTGTTCATAATATATTCAGAATTATCAATGCCTTAATGCTTTAATTATACATGTGTTAAGAGCTTGTTCATAGGCCTGCATAAAATCTGTAATGACTAGATTATATCACAACTATTTGTATCAATTTTTTAAAAATCTCAGTTAAAGGGGCAGTCCATCCTGAAATTAAGTTGGTTTTAAAAGAAGCAGAAAAATGAGAGAAACGGGTCAGTCAACTGAAGTTGAGTAATATCTGATTAAAAATAAGGAAGTTATCAAGTTTTGAATTTGTAATCAATGAAAAACAAATTGGCAACTCTGTGACGCATCATGCGAGCTCAACTCAGTGGTCAGTACTAAAAATATGAGAAATGTTCATTTTTCCTCAAGAAAATTGTCAATTATACATGCACCCTAAATATATTTATTGCATATGTTTCTATATACTACCACATACTGCAAGGAACAAATAAGGTATATTCCGTCATTAATGAAGACGAAAACGTGATTTTATGTAATATTATGCTCAAAGCAAATGGAAGGAGGGCTTGCGTCACATACGTCACAGAGTTGCCAATTTGTATTTGATTGATAGGGTACGTATAGAGAACTAGAGTTACAATGACAATGGCAATGAAATAACAATTTATTCTCATGTCACTCACATGGGGGTATTGGAGAAGTTTACAATCAGTTTGAGTTTGTCGATTTAACACTGTACAGTATACAACTCCAAACAAATTAATTTTAGTCAATGAAAATATCACTAACGACGATGGTGATAACAGTTAAAATGATGATAATAATAATAGTAACAATAATGATAACAATCATATAGAAAAATAATTAAAATAATAATCATAATAATAATTAATGACAAAATTAATGGAAGCAATTAAAAAAGAAAGTTAATGGCACCAATAAATTGTTATTTGAATTAATGAATTACTGAAAATATTCTTGATATCAATTTTATAATTTGATATAAGACACAAAAAAAGAGAAACATGAAGATAATATTGAACTTGTAACATTTAATGTACACATACTTAAATTAGTAATGGAAACAAAGTTTAACTTTGTTAAAGAATTTCACTAAGTTTAAACGTGTTGTGCATTATTGGAGTTTAAAAAGCTGATCCATTTTCAGTGTATTCGGTTTTTCAATTCAATATTTATCAAGGAACAATGTTGAATGTCACGCGACACCATTTCAGCTATATAATACAAATACACTATCATCAAACTACAACACATTCTTGTGTCTCCCTTGTACATCAAAATGTTGAAATATATAAGGCACTGAAAACTTTATTTCAGTAATTCATGATCGATCATCCAATATACATAAAAAGACCTGCTACGTACATCATTTTGCATAACATAATTCAGAATAAATTCACAGATCTGAGCGATTCACATTGTCTATTATGAAGATCAGAGTGGATTATAAAAATGTTATCACTTAATCAGAAGAGGATGGTGATCAAAAGGCAAGGTAACGGAATGCTCATAAGAGAAGTATCTACGTTATATCTTATAAGCCAATCACGAATGCAAAACTTATTAAAATATAACTCTTATTTACAGGGCAAGTATGTTTGGCAAACAAAAAAGTTCAAAATATACATGTATGATACCATTGCACATTTATAATCATAATGATGCAAAGAAAAACCTGGAATATTATCATAAAAATTATTTAAACCCAGTACTGAATACAATCAGAATAAACATGTATCGTACAATGAGAGCAGCATATTTACATGTACACTGGAGTGATGTCAAGAAAATCCTGGAAAATATTTCCTCAAATGGATTTATTATGTAGTACTGGTGATCGTAGTTAAACATATCCAAACAATAATCAATTTCAAATTAAATATTACACTGATAACTCAGGCATGTTACATTGACAAAAGAGACATGCATCTTAACATTATAGCAGCCTATTTACATTTACACTGGAGTGTTGTAAAGAAAATCCTGGAAAATATTTCCTCAGATGGATTTTAAAATCTAGAACTGAATGTAGTTCTTAATTTACAATACATCTCCAAGATACTGTTACACTGATAACTCAGGCCTATATGCATACACCCTTACCAGACAAAGTTAGTTCTTAACTATCATATTGAGTTTGTATACAAGATAACTAGAGCAATAATTATGACTCTTAACATCTGGGTCATTTCTGCTAACAATTTCTAAATAATTATATTGTTATTGAACATGTGCAATAACATTGACATATAAAGTGACATTTTGATAAGATAATTTGAAATATTACATTCTTCAACTCATAACGCACTCTGTGAAAGTTGGGTGCTAATTCATATATTGCATGCATATAATTACCTAATGCAAAGTGATTAAAGTCTACAATTATACTCTCAACATGCATTATATCAAAGCTGTCTAATGTATGATTGACTCATTCGTTATTTATTTCAGCTTTATTTAACATGGGCTTCAATTTAACAAATGCTTTCAGGAAGAGCGCTGTGATCAAAATGCAAGAACGATTAGAGTAGAAAAAAGTGCACACACAGTAATAGTATAGTATTAATGACTGCTTTGAGAGAAATAGTTGTTTTATTACGCTCTCGGGAAGGTTAGAATTGTGCTATTCCCCGAGGCTTGCCGAGGGGAATAGCCCAATTCTAACCTTCCCGAGAGCGTATGAAAACAACTATTTCTCGAATATTAAAGCAGTCATTAATACTTTTATATGCCGAAAAAAAATAGACTAAAAAATGAAAAATTAAAAATATTTATCATCTTTGTCGAAGACGGGATTCGAACTCTTGCGTACAACAAGAGGTGTACTGAAAACCAACGCTTAGACCACTCGGTTATGGCCCGCCGTTAACATGCTTGGCAGTTTTCTCCAATATATACATTAAAATGGATTGAAACCGGCTTCGCGTGTGATGAATGCTTCGCAAAAGCTCCATATACGGACTCTTCTTTTACTTTTGCAATGCATATTGGCACGAACTTAGATCAAGATCTATCGGCAGATGTTGTTTTTTTGTTTTTGGAAGTTTATTTTCGTCTTCATGTCAACAATGCAAGATAAAATTGTCGGTAAGATCGATCGAGATTCAATTGTATTGAAATTACCGACCAATCCTTCGCACACATACGGCATCCTCCATCGCTCAAACCATTTTTTAACATGTAAACCTATGGGGTAACCATGGAGGCTGACCAACTTTTTTTAATAACCATGGTTATTAAAAATATTAAAATGTTTTATGCATGGTTACCGAGAATTTTACAGGAACAGTTGAAGTTTATGAATGCAATTCGACCAATCAGATGGCTGGATTTCTTAAGTGAGGTATATAATCTGCTTTACTTTTATTTCATGATGATATTGTGTACCGGGAGTCTAGCTGACAGACGTTAATCAACAAACAGCACTTGTATGTTGTGAAGAAAACTAAATCTTCAATTGTGTGCAGTTAGTTGACAATATAGATAAAGCAATAGTTCTTTAGCTGGAGTCGCTTCTGGTAATAATTCAAACAAATCTTTTCAGACTTTATTTTATCATTATTTATTATCAAACAAACACTGTGCAAGTAATTACGTCCTACATTATAAGTGGTTAGTTGACATGATAGCATTAAGAGCTGGTATAGTGGTTCACTCACTAGACTCAATCCAAGGATTGAGGGTTCAAATCCCAGCTAGCCCAGCTCTAACATCCTTGGCAAGGCATTAATCCACATTTGCCACTCTCCACCCAGGTATTAATGGGCACCCGACATGCCAAAGTGCTACATATTTGGCCGCCGCCTAGGACCAGGGTGATGTAATGTTGTTTGAGTGCCAGGAGGGTCATGCTGCAATGGGCTTGTGCACTATATCAGAAGCCATTATTATTATCATTATAACTACTAGCCCTGGTGTTGTCACCTTCTATACACATGCATAATCATAGCTGAGTAAAAAATGACCCCCTATTTAAATTTACTACACAACATGACCCCTTTCTGCATAAAACAGGTACACAATGTGCTCTTGATGCAACTCTGTTTTGGGCCTATTGAGTTCACATTTACAAAACATATCCATCTTATACATGGGCGTTTCACAGGTATTAGAACATTGTGACAATATTACGTTCTCTTTGTTGTAAAATGTATACACTAACACCAGATAGTTGACTGGACTCATCAAGGTGAAAAAGAAGAACACAGTCTTTTCAATAATATTCAAATGTTTTCAAATATTGCCCAAAATTACTCCTATTTACCCCAAAGTTCTTGATATCAGACCAGGACTCAAAACCAACAGGCTAGCCGGGACACATGGACCACCAAAACTCTAGGCCTTGACCCCAGAATTTCAAAGTTTTTTTCTTAGGACTCATGCATACAGAATGTAAAAAGTTAAATCTGAACCTCTTTTCCAAAAAAGAAGTTAGTGTGGAGCCCTGAATTATACATACACAAAAACAAGATGAAGTGCTACCACTGGGACACCGTCTTACTCAACCGATACCATAGCAATTAGACTTCATACTTTTGATTGCTTCTCTGGAATTTCAAGACCATCCTGTGAAACTCTCGACTGAGTAGAAGGAGCTTGCCTCTTGTAAAGCCTGCTCTGACTACTGCCACCTTCTCTGTGTGTCTGAGAGAATTGACATACAGAATGTGATGTATTGCCAACATGCTGTTGAGGGTGGTCTGATGGTGGTATTGTCCTTCTTGAAGAGTGTACATCACCCATGGGTTGGTGTTGAGTGTGGTCTGATGAACGTAATGTCCTTCTTGGAGAGTGTACATCACCCATGGGTTGGTGTTGAGGGTGGTCTGATGAACGTAATGTCCTTCTTGGAGAGTGTACATCACCCATGGTTTGGTGTTGAGTGTGGTCTGATGAACGTAATGTCCTTCTTGGAGAGTGTACATCACCCATGGGTTGGTGTTGAGGGTGGTCTGATGGTGCTATTGTCCTTCTTGAAGAGTGTACATCACCCATGGGTTGGTGTTGAGGGTGGTCTGATGAACGTAATGTCCTTCTTGGAGAGTGTACATCACCCATGGGTTGGAGTTGAGGGTGGTCTGATGAACGTAATGTCCTTCTTGGAGAGTGTACATCACCCATGGGTTGGTGTTGAGTGTGGTCTGATGAACGTAATGTCCTTCTTGGAGAGTGTACATCACCCATGGGTTGGTGTTGAGGGTGGTCTGATGATGGTAATGTCCTTCTTGAAGAGTGTACATCACCCATGGGTTGGTGTTGAGGGTGGTCTGATGATGGTAATGTCCTTCTTGAAGAGTGTACATCCCCGATGGGTTGGTGTTGAGGGTGGTCTGATGGTGGTATTGTCCTTCTTGAAGAGTGTACATCCCCCATGGGTTGCTTTTGAGGATGTTCTGATGGTGGTAATGTCCTTCTTGGAGAGTGTACATCAGTGGTAACACTGATGTTGGCCAAGTCAGCCAAGCCATCCGAGTCATTTGAGCCGTCCGAGATACTCAAGTCATCCGAGTCATTTGAGCCGTCCGAGATACTCAAGTCATCCGTGTTACACAAGCTGTAAAGGAAACAGATTTTTGTTATTATCTGTTTGAAAGATGAGAAATAAATAATTGACTACTATCGGTATTATTGAAAGTACCAGTCTCAAGGAACATTTTTAACAGTGAATTAAGAAGGAGAAGAAAAAAAGACTGCAGTGTAAAAAAAATATCAAGAAATCACACAAAAAAAGGACTCAAGCAAAATCTACAAAGTTAAGGTTGAAAACACTTTACAGTAAGGAATTTGTACAATAAAGCTGTTACTGAATATTTTGTGTTTTCAGACAAGAAATCTTCAATTGTTTTAAAAGGATCTGGTATCCTGGATTTAGCTCATGCTGCAATTATAATTATAAGCCTTTAGGTCAGTCAGGAACTCCATGACTTTTACAAGCCGATCGTCTGTCTGATTATCAAGATATTTATGATTGGAAATCGAAACCAAATTTTGCGTTTGCCAAACGGTTTTGATAAAACTACAGTCTATTGGGGGAAGCGAGTACGGTAAAACAGGTCACTCAAAGATTTGTAATTTCTGAGGTACTTCTTGATCAGTTTGAAGCGCCATTTTTTTAGGGCTTCAATATTACACCATATCACAGATACTGGTAGCACGCAAGGCCGTGCATCTCAGATTTATCATTGTTAAACGATCCCTTTAAGGTATACAATATCACTTTATTGCATGCTCCCTGATGGAGGTATATATCAGCATTGTATCTTTTCTTGGTATTCCATTAGAGGCTCTTTATATTGTTTCTTTATACCACTACTCATGAAAAGCTTTCATGTTGATATCTAATTTTTTTTTTAAATCACATATAGGCCTACTGTACTAACCTTGAGAGGGTGTGAATAAATGAGTTCAAGTCATCTTGAGCAACTCCATTTAACCTGAAGTTTCCCTTTCTTATCTGAGGAAAACAACCCTGTAACATATAACAACAACATTACTTGTAAACAGTTACAAATAAGTGGATCCATTTCATTATGGCATATAATCTATTTTCTTAGGGACTATACACCCAACAGCTACAGTAACATCTCATAAACAAAATAAGTATGGATAATTTAAAAGAGCTAGGGTAAGACAAATTTTGCACAAGAAATTTACACAAATTTCAAAAATAAATGGATCCAATACATACTGCAATTTCATGAAATCCTGTGATATTAATCATAGTGGTAGTTTTACTATAGTAGTACTGGTAGTAGTATTCACTATAGCAGTAGTAATTTAATTATGATACTCAAATCAAGTATTACAAAAACTACGGTATCTGTTAGCACAAATCTTTATACTTAGACATATTTTTTCATATCTATCAAACTTGGATTATTGATCAAAACAATGAAAATCTTTCACACACTTGGATTTCAACTAAATCAGTACATACATTAAAGTCTGCTTTTATTCCATGTTTCAAGGCTGTACCAATATACCAAGTGAACAGCCATTAAAAAAAAGGTGTTTGGAAAAAAACATGTAGGCCTATACATGTGCACCATATAATCATTACTGCTCTTTCTTTCTTTCAGCGATCCTCTCCATCGCATTTACATTAGGACACACATACCTGTATGGATGATGCCTTTGCTTTCAATGTAGAGTAGAACTCCTTTTTGAGAACACTTCTAAGTGTCAGGTCAGTTAGGTTTGGCATAGAACACAGTGCTTCTGCTAGGTGATGTAATGAGGCTGGTGTGGAACTCTGGAGAACATCAAGCTTGAAAGTCTGGACCTGCAATGTTTGTGGAAATAGTAATAAGCACTACTTTTATTTATGCATATGTTTTATAAAATAATTTCTGACTGAACTATAACATTCCATACAAATTCCAATAATTACATAGTTGAATTCCTAATAAAATTCTCAGCAAAAATGATAATTAAATAGATTTTCGTTTCATATTCAATTCTTGTCTATTGAGAAAAAGAACATACTAAAGTTTCCATGGAGAGGATGATTTAGTAAGAGTTATTTTTTCAAAATTCCATATGTATTCTTTATAGGGCTTTCAACCTGTTTGCATTGATAAGTCCTACTGCTACTAACACTGTAATTAATAATATCCATAAATATATACCGTATTTGCTTTTATTCCATGTTTCATGACTGTACCAATATACCTAGTGAATAGCCTTTAAAAAAGGGTGTTCGAAAAAACATGTAAACATGTGCACCATATAATCATTACTGCTCTTTTTTTCTTTCAATTCACTTCTCCCTGACATTTGCATTAGGTCACACATACCTGTATGGATGATGCCTTTGCTTTCAATGTAGAGTAGAACTCATCATTGCGACCCAGTACAAGTGTCAGGTCAGTCAGGTTTGGCATATAACACAGTGCTTCTGCTAGGTGATGTGATGAGGTTGGTGTGGGAAACCCGACATCATAAATCTCGAGAGTCTTGACCTGCGTTCATGATGAACATAGTTAAGTAACTTATCTATACATGCATACATTTTATTTACATATTTCTCACTATATTTTTACATTTCATACAAATTCCATTCATTAATAGCAAAATTATTAAATAGATTTTCTTTTCATATTAAATTATTGTCTATTGAAAAAAGAACACATTAAAGTCTCCACGGAGAGGATGATTTAGTAATAGTGATATTTTTAAAATTTGATATCTATTCTTTATAAGGCTTCCAACCTGCTTGCATTGCAGACCCCTACTCCAACTTGCACTGAAACTAATAATACACATACATATGTATTTGCTATTAATGTATTTAAGGTATTCTTAACTCTGGATTTCATGTGCACAAGAGCGCCATATCAGGAAGTTTGTTGCTATGGTTCAGTTTGGTAAATTGAAGCCTTTATTAAACTTGGCTGTAATAAAACTATATGACATATTTTTCATACCAATCAAACTTGGAAAAGGTTGGATATTGACTATCGATCTAAAAAATGTCATTCGTATACACACTTGGATTTCAACTGGATCAGTAAATGTATAGTTTGCTTTTACTCTATGTTTCATGGCTGTACCAATATACCAAGTGAATGGTCGTTAAAAAAAGGTGTTTGGAAAAAAATAGGTATACATGTGCACCATATAATCATTACTGCTCTTTTTTCTTTCAATGAACCTCTCCATTAATTGACATTAGGACACACATACCTGTATGGATGATGCCTTTGCTTTCAATGAAGAGAAGAATTCATCAGACTCCTCATCGCGATTCATTTCAAGTGTCAGGTCATTCAGGTTTGGCATAGAACACAGTGCTTCTGCTAGGTGATGTGATGAGGCTGGTGTGGGAAACCAGACATCATGAAGCTTGAGAGTCTTGACCTGCGTTCATGATGAATATAGTAAAGTAACTAATCTATACATGCATACATTTGATTTACAAATTTCTCACTGTATTCTTACATTAACTACATATTCAATTAATTACATAGTTGTATTCATAATAAAATTTTCGGCAAAAGTCAATACGGTAAAAAGCTTTTTTCTTTTCATATTCAATTCTTGTCTATTGGGAAAGGAACATACTAAAGTTTCCATGGAGAGGATGATTTAGTAATAGTGATTTGTTCAAAATTCTATATCTATTCTTTATAGGGCTTCCAGCCTGTTTGCATAGAATAGTCCTACTCCTACTTACATTGAAACTGTTAATATGCATAAATATATATTTGCTATTAATGTATTTAAGGTATTCTTAACTCTGGATTTCAAGTGCACAAGACCCCTAAGTCAGGAGGTTTCTTGCTATGTTTCAGTTTGGTAAATTCAAGCCTTTATTAAAATTGGCTCTAACAAAACTATATGACATATTTTTCATATCAATCAAACTTGGATTTCAGCTGAATCAGTACATGTATATTTTGCTTTTAGTCCATGTTTCACGACTGTACCAATATATCAAGCAAATGGCCGTTAAAAAAGCTGTTTGGAGTAAAAACATGTATACATGTGCACCATAGTAATAATTACTGCTCTTTCTTTCTTTCAATGAACCTCGATCTCCATGACATTGCTATTAAGACACACATACTTGTATGGATGATGCATTTGCTTTCAATGAAGAGCAGAACTCCTCACAGAGATACACTTCAAGTCTCAGGTCAGTCAGGTTTGGCATAGAACACAGCGCTTCTGCTACGTGATGATACAAGGCTGGTGTTGGAATCCTCACACCAAAAAGCATGAGAGTCTTGACCTGCATTCATGATGAATATAGTTAAGTAACTCTTTGATACATGCATACATTTTATTTACAAATTTCCCACTGTATTCTTACATTAACTACATATTCAATTTATTACATAGTTGTATTCATAATAAAATTTTCAGCAAAAGTCAATAAATAGCTTTTTTCTTTTCATATTCAATTCTTGTCTATTGGGAAAAAGAACATACTAAAGTTTCCATGGAGAGTTTGATTTATAAAAGTGATTTGTTCAAAATTCTATATCTATTCTTTATAGGGCTTCCAGCCTGTTTGCATAGAATAGTCCTACTCCTACTTACACTGAAACTGTTAATATGCATAAATATATATTTGCTATTAATGTATTTAAGGTATTCTTAACTCTGGATTTCATGTGCACAAGACCCCTAAGTCAGGAGGTTTCTTGCTATGTTTCAGTTTGGTAAATTCAAGCCTTTATTAAAATTGGCTCTAACAAAACTATATGACATATTTTTCATATCAATCAAACTTGGAAAAGGATGGATATTTATTATTGATCAAAACAATTTCAATCTTATACACACTTAGATTTCAGCTGAATCAGTACATGTATATATATATATTTTTTTAATGTTAATTCTAACTATAATTCAACTATCTTGAACCTCAAAATAAACACCCAAACTATAAACAAGACCAAACTACCAATGTTTTGTCGCTTTTTTGGAAAAATGAGATGTTTTGTACACAAATCACGAAAAATGAGCGATTTTTTTGGGCTGACATGCGAAGGTCACGTGACTCTGTAACGGTAGGTCCGATTTTCGAAAAAATTTATTTCAAAAGATGCGCAAGATCTGAAAGAATAAAGTCATAAAATTTCAGCGCAAATTTGTATTGCGTTAAAAATGATCGAGAAAAAATGTAGAGGGGCTGCTAATTTTTTTTTCCCAAACAGGTTTGCCAATGCTAATATTTCTGGTCATCTGATTGGCTGGTTTGTTACGTCATTAGCAATGACGTAACCGTTAGGGTGAGTGATAGGGTTATAGAAATCATGCAGAATCACTTTTCATTAACCCATCGTTGGCTCAATCGGTAAGGTCAGCGTATTACAATCATAATAAAGTTGTGGGTTCAAGTCTCAGTTTATTCAGTTTTTTAGCCTTTATAAATAGTGAGGCAAAGCAATACAAAATCAAAGTCTAATTGTTTGTGACCTCTTTCCTAGCTGCTAATGACGTAGAACATTTCAGCCATTGAGAAAAACGGAAATATAAGAAATTGCAAACCTGTTTGGGAATAAAATTTCGCCCCCGGGCTAGATAGGGTTAAACAAGAGCGTTTGGAAAGAAAACATGTTTACATGTGCACCATATCATCATTACTGCTCTTTCTTTCTTTCAATGAACCTCTCCATGACATTGCAATTGGGACACACATACCTGTATGAATGATGCGTTTGCTTTCAATGTAGAGAAGAACTCCTCATTGAGATCCATTTCAAGTTTCAGGTCAGTCAGGTTTGGCATAGAACAAAGTGCTTTTGCTAGGTGATGTGATGAGGCTGGTGTGGGACACTTGACTTCAAGCTTGAGGGTCTTGACCTGCGTTAATGATGAATATAATTAAGTAACTCATCAATACCGCATACATTTTATTTACTAATATCTGACTGTATCCTTATATATATCATACAAATTCCATTAATTGCATATCATCATAACATGTCATTTTCACAAAAAATGATTGAATAGATTTTATTTTTAAATTCAACTCTTGTCTCTTGAAGTTAGAGAACATACTAAAGTTTCTCCGGAAATAATGACATAGTAAGAGTGATTGTTTTATAAATTCTATATATATTCTTCATAGGGCTTCTAACTTGTTTGCATGATAAGTCCTACTCCTAATAACACTGAAATTAATATTACCCAGACATATATGTTTGCTATTAATGTGTTTAAGGTATTCATAACTCTGGATTTCATGTGCACAAGACCCCTAAAGTCAGGAGGTTTTTTGCTATGGTACAATTTGGTATATTCAAGCATTTATTAAAATTGGCTCTCAGAAAACTCTATGACAAATTTTAAAAATCAATCAAAAGGTCAGAAATTGATACAAAATAATGTCCATCTTATCAACACCTAAACTTCAACTGAATCTCCACATGCAAGGTTTTTAATCCAATTCAATTCAATTCATTTGGCATGAATTTCTTTTACAAATCATAAATGCAAAATATATAAAAGGCCAGATCCTCTAAGAAGCAATTTGTGTTTGGTAAATGAGTAAACCCAATATTAAATTAAATTGAAAAAGAAATACAAAATATATATATATATTTCTAGAAGGGGAAAAAAGACCAAACATTTACTACAGCTGTTATTGACCATGTATATGCACACACCCATATTCACACACAACCATATGAGAGCAATACAGAAAAGGGAAGAGGTGGGAATGAGAAAGAGGAGAAAGGGAAGAGGTGGGAATTTTCAACTCCCAAATAGTACTCAGAGCAACTTTAAAATGGTTTAAAATTTCTGGTCACGTGGAGAGCTCTCAACCAATCAAAAACCAAAAAAATTGTAATGCAGGATATAATTTTTAATATTCTAGTTTAATTTTTTTTTTAAATATCAATGAAACCGATTTGGCATCAGGAAATCATCAACCTATCTTCTAGATTAATTCAAGCATTTCAAATATTTATGTCTAACTGATCATAAGCATCCTTAATAATTTGGAAGTGCCTTGTTTAATTCGGATACGAGAATTCACAAAATCACTTCAGTGCTTGAGAAAATCCATGTCAGTAGTGTGCCCGTGGACAAAATCATTCACAGACTTGATTCTGTTGACACAATCATTCGCGGGTGTTACAGATACGGTGGACAGATTCGACAGAATCACTGGCTGGTTTGATTGCATGGACAAAATCTCTCACGGGTTGATTCCATGGACACAATCACTATGTGATCGAGATTGATTTTGTGACAAAATCAATTAGTTGGAGTGATTTTGTGTTACATGTCATATGACGCCCTACAGCGCATAGTTGACGTTCTTTGACAAGAAGCAACATTCACACACGTATCATTATGATGCCTCTTCCAAACAACAGCCAGTAGCATATTTAGGTTGAAAAAATTGGAGGGGGAAGGGGGGGGGGTGGTCCCAAGCAAATGCAAATGCAAATGCGAATGTGACCGACATTAAAAGGCATCAGAGTCCAAAACAAAGGCAAGAATCGCTCCTTCTTCTTGTATTCATCTAAACAATTATTATATTATTATCATCTACCAATGTTATACATGTGCTTTCAATTTTTTTCATCCATAAATCCATATGTCTATCACTTTAAAGGGAAGTCCATCCTGATAGTAAGTTGGTTTAATAAGAGAAACGGGTGAGTGAAAGTTTGAGCAAAAACCGATTTAAAATAAGAAAGTTATCAATATTCGAAGATGTGTTCAATAAAATACAAATTGGCAACTCTGTGACGTACATTGTATCTTTCAAGGTCCCCTGACTTTGACCCTGTGAAAAGATAATTAAAAATAAAGGTTTAATTTCCAATCATACATTCACCTTAAATATAATTATTACAAATAAGTTTGTATTGCAACCCCTGTATTAAACAAGTCTATTCTGTCATCAATAACTAAGAACATGAAAGTTTATACAAAATTCTGTACTGAGAAAATTGGAGAGGAGCTCACAAGTACATGAACATCCCAGTGTTGCAAATATGTGTTCAACTGATGACAGCATCAAAAATTCATAACTTTCTTATCTTTAATCGGATACTGCTTAAACTGTCACTAATTTGTTTCTCTAAAACCAACTTAATACCAGAGTGGACTTTCCCTTTAAGTACATGTGAGTTTCTTTTAGGCCATTCAAGTTATATGCATACAACTGTTTACATATTACTCCCCGCCCATTCTCTAGGTTTCCACGGTTAGTATTCAAACTTAAGGCTTTTGTTAACACTGCTGCTGCTTAGTGAAAGGACCATTGATAACCTTCGGTCAAAAGAACTAGCATGAGACATTAAAGGTACTATGTCCCTTTTGCAGCCAACCTCAAATTCTGTAGAACTTTGCAGGAATTATGAATATGTCATGTATGTCCTATCTGTGAAATTTAAACGCTAGCAGTGTCCTCATATTCAAATTATGCAAGGAAACCCGTTTACTTGCTAGACTTCACTGTCAGACACTATTGAGTGACTGACTGGCTATTTGTCTTCTTTGGTAATAACGTACATGAAAAGAGTTGTAAAGGGTACATGAGCATTTGTCTACATTAATAACCCACTTCTTGTGATGGCCAAGATTAAACTGATTGAATCTTTGCGCAGCATAAAACGTATGACCATTCGGTACAATTGTCTGAAAATCAAGACTGTTACTTTTGGGCTCTATAGCTCTAAATTTGATTTGACAACTAATAGTCGTTATTTTCCCACTTGAAGACATTTTCAAGCCCCACCTTTTTTAGGGAAGTTCTAAATTAGTATTATCTTTCAAATGCAGTTGGAATTTAACTTTTTCATTTTCTTGGCCTGCAAATGGGACATAGTACCTTTAACACAAATTAAAGGAAATCAAAATGTAAAGGGAAGAGATGGTAATAATGGGGTGAAATTAAAAAAACACTCGTACATACATCACAATTGTGGATTGAAATGCTCACCTTTGATTCTTTTCCTTTCCTTGCAAGTGTTGCAAAAAAACAATGATGTAATGCACCTCCAAGAAAAACTTTCTCCAAGGATGGAATGGAGCATATCATCTCTGCCACATCAAGTGACATAGAAGGTCCACACTCTCTCTTAATCAACGTTAGTTCAACCTGAATAAAATGACAAAGTGATTATGGATGGGATGCAGAATATAGACGTTTACTTGGATGTTAGTCATACATGCGTAGCCTACATGAGCGGTTGCCCTAGATGTGCTACTAGAACTACAGAGAGTATTAAAGAGGGAAAGGGAAATAAATAAGGGTACAGGCTGACAAACTATTGCCATGACATTTCATATCAAATTCCTAATTTTGCGACCGTAGGAATATCTTATCTTTTAAAAGTTTACCATGTGCTAAAAAGAGAATCCTTAAACGAAGTAAAAGGAGAGTATCGTCTAAGAACAGGATTAAAAGGAGATTATTTAAGTTTGCACCATCTGGCGCCTCATATCTTAGTCATTTTTAAAAGTTACTAGGAACACGATCACTAATTAAAAGGGGGGATACAAAGCAAAAATATAGGCTCGCAAAGGAGAAAAGAGGTAAAATGTTGATTCCCTGCAAAGGAGAAACATGTATGTACTGTATTCAGTGTTAACCCTATTTAGCCCAGGGGGGGGGGGGGCTTTAGAAGCCCCCCCCCCTCTACATTTTTTTAACGCAAGAAAATTTTGCACTGAAATTTTGTGACTTTTTTCTTTCGAGTCTTGCGCATCTTTTGAAAGAAAATTTTCGAAAATCGGACCTACCGTTACAAAGTCACGTGTCCTTTTGTCTTCGCATGTCAGCCCGAAAATCGCTCATTTTTGTGATTTGTGTACAAAACATATGGAAATCTCATTTTTCAAATAAAGAGATAAAACATTGGTTATTTGGTCTTGTTTATAGTTTAGGTGTTTATTTTGGGGTCAAAATAGTTGAATTATAGTTGGAAATGAAATAAAACAACAAAAACAATAAAATACATAAGTTAAAAAAACAAAGAAATACATAAGAAATTATCAAAACAATAGATAACATAAGGAATAACCCTGGTTTTTCAATATTTTGTGTTGTATTATTATTCCAAATGGTCTAACAAATATATGTAGTTAGAAAGAATGCTTAAATATGAATAATGTCTGATTTATGGGCAAAAATGTTAATTTGATGACCTTATTTGCATAAATTACCATAAATATGCAAATGAGTAAATTTGTCAAAAAATTGAAATTACCATAGTATTCTATACACTTCACTTGACATGTATGCAAATTTTCGCGGCGATCGGGCGTTTCACGGCCGAGATCATAGGGGGGGGGGGGCTTAGAAGCCCCCCCCCCCCCCCCCCCCCCCCCCCCCCCCCCCCCGGGCTATGCAGTTTCAAAATAGCCCGGGCTAAATAGGGTTAACAAGGGAGATTGAAGCAGAAGATAGGATGAATTGATCTACAGACTACAGTAGTTGTGTATGTTAAGAGTTGCAAATGCCCTAGCTGCAAATGCTATCAAATTCAAACTGTGCTTCAATATGATTCATATCAATAAACAACAATGATACACATGGCCAAGAATATCAAACAAATTCCTTTGTGCAGTTGTTAATATTTATAAACCAAGAATTTGGATCTCAATTATTAAAGCAAAGCATATTTTCCTGGAAGGGATGAAAATTTGCGAACTATTGATGAAGTTCCCTTTTCCCAAATGTTATCTCATCTTAAAGGTATACATGTAGATGCACCATACATTGTACACTGTATGCATGTGCCAGTACATAGCTTCAATGTAATTGCATTGACATCCTCGCCAATACCTTGTAAATTTGTGCCACCCCCCCCCCCCCCAGACTAGATAGGGTTAAACCTCCTTTATACACCCTTCCATAATTATACTGTTGTACCATAAGAAAATTGCAAAAAACATAAAAGTAAAGACGTGTACAAAAATTGAATGAATTAATTTTGTTGATTAAACTATGATCAAACTTACCACATGTGGACAAATGAATGCATACCCAGCTACAGTGTGTGCTGTCTTGAATGTTTCCACAATGTTCAGCACAGTCTCCTCTGACGAACCCCTGTCCTTCACCAAGGCTGCTACATCTGGATCCAGACTCTCAAATGCTACATCAACAATGAAATCTCTCTTCATGTACATTCCCTTTAGCATAGAATTCATTACATGGGTTGCAATACTTTTGTTCTGTGCCACAGTGAAGTACAGGAGATACCTAAACTCCTCCTTCCTTGGCAGCACCACTTGCTCAATCAGCCTGTTGCATTCATTACGATCTTCAATACGATCTGATTCATAGAGGGAAGCAAGATGGACTCCAGCCATGTACTCCTGAAACAGTTTGTGAGGGAAGAAGACTGGCAATTGCACATGAGAATGCCTCTCATGTGTATCCATAACGGCGGTAATTCTGTCCTCCTGAGACAAGATCCCGACCCGACAGGCAGTGTCCTTGGATTCTGGACATATTTTGAAATCATCTTCACCGAAAACCAATGTATTTTCTAGCAGACCAGCAAGAGCCTGTTTGGCAATCGGTCCAAGGAGCTCATCAATTTTTACCAAATAGGCAAGAAGTGAGGGGCTGCCTACATTCTTCACCTTTTTCTGAGCATAATGTTCTTTTAGAAAGGCAATCATTGTTTTGAATATTTGAGAAAAAGTTTTCAGTGATTTCAATTTCTTTAGTTTTTGCTCGTCAAGCTCTTTCCACATAAGACACAACATAGCTACATATATAGGATAGGGGGCCATGTCTTCGGATATGACATCATTCTCACTGATGAACTGGATAAGCTGATTTGCTTTATCTTTATTCTTTGGAAAGTATTTGTGAATGTAAACTGATAAATTCTCCCTGTCGAAACCCTCAACATGAATGAATGTGTAGAGCTTCGTTAGATCACCATCTGATCTAATTTCTACTGCTCTCCAAGGGCGAGTGGTCACCAAGACTGAACAAGAGGCAAGTTGATCTGAACAAAGAATATCTACAAGCCCAATATCACCAGTCTCAGATGAGCTTCCACATGCCTCTGAGGAGGTGACGCATGGCTGAGATGGCTGAAGTTGCATTTGATCAGTAGGCTGTGATTCGCAAGATTCTGTCTTCATGATTTTGACACTGACTTCGTCTAGCCCATCGAATGCGATGAATACCTTGTCAGGATTTGACTGGATATACTCAGTAATCTGAGAAACCGTTGCTGGATTGTCTTTGGCCAGATAAGTCTTTGCAATCTGGCCTATAGTGTGTTGCTTAAATTCACGTAAAGGAACAATCAAGACCCACACAAAGTGACTGGAATGCCTTCCTTCAATCCAGTCCCAGGCAATCTTAGCACAGAGAGTAGTTTTTCCAGCCCCTGCCTCTCCCTGAACCATGATCCGCTTGGGGAACTCTCCATTAACTTTGAGATTAAGGATATTGTAATCTAGCAATCGCTTCTCTGTTCCATGTTCTTCTAGTAAGACGAGGTTAGTATGCAAGTCTTCAAACTGCACAATGGAAGTAGGACTGAGAGGATCAGCTCTGATCTTACAGACAGTTGACCTGTACTTGAATTTGAAATCCTTTGCACACCGCTCAACCAGTTCAGGAGAAAGTGGTTTGGTCTGAGATTCAGCTGAAGGAGGTTTGGTCTGTGATTCGAGCAGTCTTGGTGGCCCTCCTAAAAGTACATAGATAATCAATATTCACATGATTACACGTAAACATAGCTTGATACATCTGAAAGGATTGTTAAGGCCCAAGACTGATAGTGTGACGTACGACTACGTGCATGTACTTAAAGACAAAAGTCCTACAAGATTGTCTGAATTTATATGACTTCATTCAATTTTAAGGGAATTTAAAATCTGAGTAATTTGTGTATACATGTACATGTAATTGTAGATAAATATCACTGGAATAATTTTTCCTAGGACATTCCAGCAATGCGGAGTTTCGCTGACAATCACACATTTTATTATGAAAAACAAGACAAATATATACAGTAGGCTTATGGTTGCACCAAGTGAGAGAGAGGGGGAGGATTAGGGAGTCCTGAAAAAGACTGTTGGTAATCTTTCTTGAGCTTATAGTTCTGAGGAGGACTATAGCACCGATTGGAGAGGATGGTAGTGGCTCGACGTTTCAAACAGGTTGACTATCCGTCGTTTCCCCCTCTCTCTCCCATGGTGCAATTGCAAGCCTACTGTATATCTGCATCTATTATTAAAATATGATTGCATCTCCACTATGCCTCTGCCTAAATTCATTTCAGATCAGGGCTATTGAATCAATTTGTTAATATCACAATAAGAATACACATGAACACTGACATTAAAAACTGACTTCACTTTTTGAATGGTTTTCCATTATGATTGATCTAAGTTTGAGGAACTCCATTTCACTAGTACTGTAAAATAAATAATAAATCAATTAGGTTTGATAGGATATTAGTTTATACAGAGCATCCGATTGGCTGAGAAGCTATCATGTGACACTCAACAATTGTATTATCTGCTCGGGCATGCTACATGTATACAGTGCGTCCCAGAAAAAACGAAACCGAGAAGTATCGATGTTCTATCATAACTTAATCACAACTATAATTAATGAATGATACATATTTGGAAAGCTTAGAGTCTCCTCTTTCATGTGATGCTACTCACGTGATGCATATTTCATGCATGAGTGATTAAAAGCAATTTGAAGGAAGGAAACCAAAAAGACATTAGGCGGGCGGGATCTGAATTTCGAAGAAAAATTCACATTTCTAGAAAGTTGAGTTTCTGCCCTTTCATATGACACCTCAATCAGGAAAAATGAGCGAGGAATGACAAAGTTCTGTTTGTTTAAAGTAGTGCTTGCATTTCCATAATTTTATTAAACGAATTCGTTTTCACTAGCTGCCTGCCGTATCAATAAACGAAATTAACAAAAGACTTAACTCCGTTTCGTTGACTATCAGCCGTAGACGAGAGTCTTCATGCATGGCTGATTGTCAACGAAACGGAGTTAAGTCTTTTGTCAAATCTGCTTTTTGCTACGGCAGGCAGCTAGTGAAAACGAATTCGTTTGTTAAAATTATGAAAATGTAAGGGCTACTTTAAACAAACAGAACTTTGTTATTCCCGGCTCATTTTTCTTGATTGAGGTATCATATGAAAGAGCAGAAAATGAACTTTCTAGAAATATGAATTTTTCTTTGAAATTCAGATACCGCCCGCCAAATTACTTTTTGGTTTCCTTCCTTCAAATTGCTTTTAATCACTCATGCGTGAAATATGCATCACGTGAGTAGCATCAACTGAAAGAGGAGACTCTAAGCTTTCCAAATATGTATCATTCATTAATTATGATTGTGATTAAGTTATGATAAAACATCAATACTTCTCGGTTTCATTTTTTCTGGGACGCACTGTATAACAACCTGGGAATATATTGCCTGTGATATTAACATTTGAAACATATTGCCCCACGATGAGCCATAGACTTACGCTCAATATTAACCTTATGATCAATCAAAAGGCTTTATAAAATATGGCGCTGGTGTAGCAAATATTAGTGACATGTATCTGTTTACCTGTGATGTTTGGAATTGTAGGTCCATTGACTAATCCATCTGATAGGCCACCCAAGTCAACCTCTCGTAGTTTGTCTGCCAAAAGCTGTCGTTTGTCTGAGTGTGGAGGTTGCTGCTTGACATTCCATTTCATAAACACATCCAGTAACGCATTGGTGAAGCTCTTCGGATTCTCAACCAGGATTGCCTGTAGTTGAGCATAGGAGAAACCTAGAGATATCCCTACAGCGTTGTAGTAAGATGGAGTGATAGCCTGGGCCAGCTTCAGGAACTCCATTTCACTGACAGTACTGTAACATGAATAATAAATCAATTGGGTATGATGGTATATTAGTTAGAGTGCATCCTATTGGTTTGTATTATGTGCGCAAGCATGCTATATAACAACCTGGGGCTATCAGAATATATGTTGCCTGTGAAATTAACATTTGAAATAAGCCTATATTGCCCCAAATAATGAAATTACATGTGATGGCTGGCGGCATTGTTCTGGCAAAGGTAATCACTCCCCCAAAAGCAGAGTCTGACAGTAAATACAATAATGATGATGATAGTAATAATACGAATAAGAACTAGATAAGAATTTGTCAATGAAAACGAATGAGGTGGTCTGGACGTTTTTGTAAAGGATCTCATATGGAGAGATGAAGAGAGATATGTATGGCAGTAGATAGATATCAAGGAGAGAGGGAGATGGGGTAAAGTCATGTAAAAAAAAAAAAACATGAGCTTGACAGAGGGATACAAGAAGAATCAGAATGCATGCACTTGGAAGGAGAGAGGATAGTATAAGGAAATATGGTAGGGATGAAAGAAGAATACAAAGGGCAAAGGAAAGAGCTAGAGAAAATGAAGGAACATCCTCAGACATAAAAGGGAGAATATGAGCCAGAGGCGGGAAAGTGAGAGGGTGAGAGGGTGAGAGGGGTGAGAGGGTAGAGAAAGAGCTACATAGGCAGAGACAGAGCTCGGGAGACAATAGAAACAAGGGAGGCAATAGAGCAAGAGAGGGAGAGGAAACGAAGACAGATCAAGAACAGAAGAGGGTGAAAGAGTAGAGAGAGAGGGTGAAAGAGTAGAGAGAGAGGGTGAAAGAGTAGAGAGAGAGAAAGAAAGAGATGTACTAGAATATACATAGAGAGACAGAGCAACTGCCCCCTCTCAGGGGGGCAGACCAAGAGAGGGGAAGGGAAACAGAGCAATAGAGAGCTAGGAGAGAGAGAGAGAGAGAGAGAGAAAGAGATTCAATGGAAAACAATGCATTCAATATTTCCAGCATAAATAGAGAAAGAGAGAGGTTATAGACATGTAAACAATTCTTTGTCTGTGGGAGAAACATTAACATAGTGTAATGATATGGATATTCTCGTGTTTACGTTTTCCTCAAAGGTTCATTGACGTACATACAAGGCAAATTCCTTGTATGCTATTTTTAACACCTGTTCCGAGACGTTGCGCTCTTAATTTTGGCTCTACTTTTTCGGCTTGGCCGATTGGATTAGGTGTCGCTGGGCGTGTCGCCACAGTTGACTTAAATTTAATCAGGCAAATTTGGGAAATAGATTTGTATTACAATTGGAAGGGTTTTTCCTTGTTGCCGGGTCTGTTCACACTATCGAAATAGTATGAGAGGGGAAGTGAGGATTACAGGTGTGTAATAGCCAGAAGCATGTGGGCTCGCTAGTGTGGACGGACATAGCAACATTTATCCCTTGTTATATTCCAGGGTTGTTGGGTCTCCGGGTGATTTGCATCTCTTGTTTGAGAGATTAGGATGTAAGAGACACAGGTGGGTGCGTGAAAGAAGTATGTGAGGAATAGAGATGCGGATCATCCGGAGCGCCTTATATCCTGGGGGTAAATTCGCCAAGAAATATAGGACCTTTTAATACGGAAACTAATTATGGGTGGATTGATATTACGCAATGCGTCTGTGTGACACGCCTCAATTTTTGGGTGCGCGAGGCGTGTCAGTTCGGGGGTATAAAAACCGAGTTGCGTCTCTAGAGCGGGACCTCTTTTCCGTTACGATCGACATGAGTTGCTAATTTGTTTCGATTGGGTTGCCCAGCCCCAAAACATGAACTTCGTGATTTATTAATTCTTCGTTTATTTTAATAAATCTTCAACTCCAATCAAGAATTTGTTTCAGTGACTTTGATTTATCTTCGTTTTCTACACTTCAAGAACTAAAGCTATACTTTAACATTTTCTGAGTCGGTACTAGGCGGGGCGGTTTTGGCCACCGGGCCGTCTCGCCGTGGATCGCTTCAATAGCATTATTTGCTGCTTTGCATGTACATGTACCTGGGCTGAATAACTGGAAAAATATAAATGTCTGGGAAGGAGACTAACATCATAGAAATAGAACGATTTAATATTGTAGCAGACTTTGGACATTAATCCTATAGGCACATGTATAATACACGACAAGGAATCAGATTTCCCATAGGGTTGTACCAGACTATTGACATTCCTCTCCTATAGATATAACACGCAAAATAAGGCATTTCAATACATTGTTAGTGATGATATGTTATAATTGTAGAACGGGTATTAAGCATTTGGGGGGGGGGGCCCAGTTTAACGGGGGGAGTGCTATTTTTTTAACTCAGCATCCACCCCCCCACCCCCCCCCCCTCCTTGAGCGCCAGGGGAGGGGGCCCCGTCTCCTTTTTTTCTTACAAAAAAGGGTGTTTTAACCTGTTTTTTTAATTCCCCCCCCCCCCCCCTGGATCCACCACTGCTTTTTGAAAACCCTGTGGCAAAACTACTAAAGATCACATCCTGAACGTGCATCTTCACATGATCTTCTGTTTCATGAAATGTTGTGTAAGGCAACCACACGACTGGACGCGATGACCTGAAATAAGCCAGTATAATTATGCATACCTTTCTGCAGTGTTAGGACCTGGATTGGTTTCAACGTCACCAGATCTCATCAAGCAGATCAGGAGTAGATAGAGAAGGCAAAATCCATCCATGGTGTAAGATGTCCTTCTCACTTGACAGAAATGTTGTTTTCTGGAAAAATGGCGATGACATGGGCAACAATACCTGAAAACAATAATCAGAAATATCTACGTTAAGTTCATAAAACAGATGGAATGAGGGTTTCAATTCACTATGTCCATTTCATAATAGTGTAACATTTTGGGGGCTTTCTGAAACCCATCCTTGGGGGAATGGCTGGGACCTGCCTTCAGTATATTTGTGGTCATATATATCGATCAATGCTGTATTTGGGCAGATAACAATGATTTTGTGATTTTTGTTTGTAGTCAATCAGGGTGCATGAGTTTCTTGAAAGTCATCATGTCATCAGGAGCTGTATTTTGTTTTAAAGCCCCACTGCACTACTTAATAGCTACTTGCGCCCTCTATATAGCATACAATGCCTAATCGGTGCCTGTTGGTCCCCCGTAATCCTCTTTTTCTTATGTTTATTGAGAGATGATTTGATGAGATACCAGTAACCACCTGTAGTAGTATACATTTCTAATAAGGTCAACGAGCAGATCATAATTATTTAATTATTTTCCAAGAAGCCTTACAGAAGATGAGTTTCTTTGAGCCATAACTTAATAAGCAATATCCAATTTAAATCATCTTTCACCACTGGATTTCTCTTATCGAGAGCTTTACATTGAAGGTATTTGAAGAAAAAAAGAATCGTTGTTATGGGCAATTCCACGATTACTCACGTTGCAGTTGGAGGGACATTGACTTACTCATTGAGCTCTCATTCTCTTATAATTGGTATGATTTAAGAAAGTTTTCAATAAATGAAAGTATACTGTACATCTTAAAGGTACTACATGTACATGTATGTCCCTTTTGCAGCCAACATCAAATTCTGTAGAACTTTGCAGGAATCATGAATGTATATGTCATGCATGACATATCTGTGAAATTTAAACATTACCAGTGTCCTACATGTCGTATTCAAATTATGCGTTGTGGCGTGCGCCTGTAATCCAGCTAACAGTGGAAGTTACAAACTGATTCAGCCGAGGACGCAGGTTCGAAACTGAGTCACGTCTTTCGGATGGTGACGTTAAAGGTCGGTCCCAGACGTAAATAATCATATCTGATTGATACACGTCTGTCAAAACCCAATTACACACACACACACACGCAATCACTTAAGTCGATTTGACAACGAATGGTCGTTATGTTCCCACTAAAAGCCATTTTCAAGCCTAAGGTAGTATTGTCTTTCAATGGTATAGATATATACCAAAGGCTTCAAGTTCAATTGTCTGTTTTCAGTGCAAGATTGATCTATACTGTAACTGGTGTTTACTGTTTAAGGGTTGTCATACATGGAGCTAATCAAGACCGGAAATGGGTAATTTGCAAAGCGATTGTGCCTCCACCAAAGTTATCCTTCCACCAAGTGTGCCTACATGTATGGTTTTGTGAAAAATTGCACGTGTGGCAAATGAGTGCCCAAACAATATGCAGAGGCTGAGAGAGGCAATGAAAGCAACCAAACTCTGCCCAAACCTTGCAGCCTCCCAACCATACATGTGTAGCTGTACTAGGATCACAATCACATTCATTACTCATTCGCCAGTACTGCATAGATCTAGTACTTACAGAGTGCCTCGCATGCATGAAATATTCTATTGTTTTGACATAATACTAGACTTCAGTCTTTTCTTTAGCATTTGTTTTAATGAAATTAATGCATCACTTGGTAGCATGGGAGATATTTTTGCACTGATACAATTACGAATGTACATGCTGTGCAAAACAGTGTAATGAGGTACCCGAGTACACTCCCAGGCTCACAGGCGAATACTCGAGTATTCGGACGCCATGTTTTTTTATAATTTTTTTGAATTTTTTTGAATTTTTTTGAATTTTTTTTTATTTTTTGGATTTTTGGATTTTTTTCCTTTTTTTTCCTTTTTTGCCACTACCATACCACTCGGCAGTTTCTCAGGTCCCTCGCTGAAAACGCATGCAACTTTACTTTGAGTTGCAGTTGAAGGCGCCGATTTAATAAGAATAATAACAGTAAACAATGCTGTTTTAAAAACCAAAGATGGCAGAATAATCCATTTTCCTCCAAGTCCAAACAGAAATCTGGACATTTGGTCCCAGTTTCTGAAAGGTGAGTTTGACAGTGCTTGAGTTGGGAAACATTTTTACCGACGGTACCATGCCAGCGGACGCTGCTCTCCCTGGCACGGGTAAGCGTGGGCCTGGACATTTTTTTTTTTTTTTTTTTTTTTTTTTTTTTTTTTTTTTTTTTGCGGCCGAATATTCGGGTACAAGAAATCGTACCCGAGTACTTGTCAACCGTGCGGGTACTCAAGCATTCGACTACCCGTCGCAGCCGACTACAAGGTCATTGGAAATAGCGGCGTATATTCATAACTGAATGATATGATAGTCTACATGCCAATGAAAATTGATGTAAAACAACAACAAACAAAACAAAAGAAAGAACAAAACTAATTCAAAATATTTTAAAAAAAATAAAACAAAACAAAAAACAAGCACACAAATCTAAAGTAGAGGTCTAGGTCTAAAGTCTAACTTCTAAGACCTTATTAATTGCAACTTTAGTAAAGTCTTTAGATCTACTGCATGTAACGTATCGATGCACATGATTGATAACTCAAATCTCACCTCTCAATACTCAAATTGCATTGTCTCAAGTCAATACAAGTGAAGGCTTAAGACTAGCTGTAAACTTCAAGCGTCAGCTCGGGCACAAAATTCAAGTTCAGACTCTGCATGCAGCATCCGCACACAGCTAGAGGTCAGTGACAGAGGAACGTACGTACGTACGTACAGGTACGTACGGAGCGGCGGAGAATGGAATAGCGGGCAGCTGACGATGATCTTCCCCCGAGAGTCGGGGCCGGGTCCCGATCCCATGTAGCATACGCTTGCCAGGCTTGGAAAGCTACCTCACACAACACAAGCTAGTTATTTGATATTGAGTCCAAGTCTTGTTTTCTGCAGTGCTGTTAACTTTTGAAAATCATCGGTTTTCATTCATTTCGACAGGAACCTTGAGCTGTAGATAGCCTGGATTCAACAACGGGTAACAAAAACTGCTAAACCCGAGAAGAAAAACGCGTTGATCTTTCAATCTTGCAAAAGGTCAATACGGGCGCGCGCTCGTAACTCATGCATTCCGCAGAAGGGGATCCCCCCAACCAGCAACCCCACTGACTACTTGTAGACCGTAGAGGTCATTGCAGCAACCTCCTTCGTTTCGAGCGGAAGGGGTTTGTTGTTGTTGTTGTTTCTTTGTTTTTAAGGAGGAGGAGGGGCGGGGGAGAGAAACAAAATTACTTGTCATTCGCCAAAAATTGTCCCTCTTTTTGTTGTTTTCTTTTAAACTATAAACCAGACGTTGTGTGTCCGAACTAGTTGTTTATCCTGACAGTCGTTAGAAGTTTACCAGGGATATGAGATAAATGAGTTTACATATACATTTTCATAATCTTCTATTACTTTTATAAGACGTTATTCTAAAGGATAAATATTTAAGATGCTATTTGATGCATACATTTCGTGGAATTGATGGCCTTCTGGTTGTTTATTAGAATTCCCCATTACGCCCTTTGTTGTATGATAACATCCACAAATTAGGCGTTAAAAAAGAAATGTTGTATTACCCTTTGCGACCGACACCAAACATCATTAATTTTTAAGTTTATTTTTACCGTTTTATAGAGAAAAAAATTAATGAATGAAAAAATATTAAAGCATTCAAAACTGAGAAACATCAGCCCAAAGAGGGAAAAAAAATGTTTAAAAAAATTAATTTCTGACCCATGATTTGGCAGCTATAAAGGGTAAAAAAACATCATTTTTTAAATTTGTAGGCCACATACCCACAAATATTTTGATGGGTGTTTTGTTGTATAAAGAGAGTAAAATAATTTAAATATGGATCCGCAAAAGGAAACCCAAGTTCATGAGTAAATTACCTGATATTTTCTTCTGGAGTGGTGGTGGTGGTGGTGAGGGGGGGGGGGGGGGAGAGGAAGTGATGTTAAAACCACTTGATCAAATCAATTAAGTCATGTGTTATTATACCGAATGCATGACAGTCTGAAGCTAGTAACAATGTCTGGTATGGAATAGTTTTGGAAATACATACTTACACATTCTAGGGGATATGTCGTACCTCTAATCTTAAGTACGCTACAAAAAATATTCATCAGATATGAAGACTAAGTAAACCGTACTTATTTTCATCATTATCATAACACGCGCACCTAAAGGATATGGCTGGTCTAGCTAGGTTTAAAAAGTTGCGGCCAGCACAAAAAAAGTGGAAGCCCGGTCCCCCCCCCCCCCCCACACACTCAGTGTTATTGAGGTATTATGCTTGTTCCCTCCGAATTTGGAAGCAACCCCCTATCTCGGGACTGCCAACATTTAAGAACCCCCACCCCCACCCTAAATCTGGAAAACTGGTCAATGTACCCCCCCCCCCCTATGTATGGTATTCCAGATATTTTATAACCCTCTTTTTAAATTTCCCAGGAGTCCAAAGAGAGAGAGAGAAACAACCACCTTTTTAATATTTTATAACTCTCTTTTTAAATTTTTGATGAATCCAAAGAGAGAGAGAAAAGAAAAAAAAACCTCCGTAAAAACAAATCTCGGGCAGGACTTTGTCGCGCGCAAAGTACCCCCAGCACTAATCCCCCCCCCCCCCTCAATTCGTGAGAAAATATTTGGCGGCGAAAAAGCCGCTCGGCGATTAAGCCGGGGGGGGGGGGTAGTGAGCACTATTTCACTTTGCTCAACACACACACCCCACCCCCTGAAAAAAGTTTTTTAAAGGTGTTTTTTATTTTTTTGGGGGGCTAATCAATTCAGAATTATCATAGATGCATATTCTGAATGCCTAAACGCTTTAATTATGCATGTGTTAAGAGCTTGTTCATATACGTTGAATCTGCAATGACTTGATTCACTATGAACACGACTTGAAAATATCTTAAATTATGCTTGTCTTTTCCTTACCGCTGGAGACTTGTATATGCCTTGTTTATAACTTATTTTGATTCTCTTTAACGCTTCAAATTGTCAGATAAAAATAAGATATAATGACCTTTCAAAGGTATTTAACGACCATCAATACTCCAGACCTACAGGCAAACGATCTAGATGACATATTTTATGATCCCACGGGGAGTGGAAACCACTTGCACTTTTGGTCAGCTAAACGTGTATTCTTCGCTCAAGGCCCTAATTCAATTCCAAATTTCCAACGTTAAATTGCACAAGGGTTCGTATATATCTAATTTCTGCAAAATTCAGAATAAACAATAATATTATTTGCGGAAAATAACCTCGTGTCAAGTTTAGCTGAATGTATTATGTGATGCTCAAAAAGTTGTAAAACGACTTTGAATTAAAGAGAATGTTTTTTTCTTCTTCTCAAAGTATGTGTGTTGATATGCAGAGAACATTTTGCCCAGGCCTTTATGATTAATCGTACAACGGCATAATAATTATATGCACAATTTATCATTTTGAATTATGAAAGCTGCTTCTAGCCATTTGACACCTTCTTCCCTATGTATTTCTGATACTCTCTATATTTGATTGTTTCGTAACATGCAAATAGTTGAAGGGATTATACGAAAATCATTTGCATTTTTCTTCCTCATACTTACCTTAGAAATATGGGTTTCCAAACGTTTGAGTAGTCACTAGTGGGTGATTCCCTTAGCAAATGATTGAGTTTATTAGTTTTTTCATGTTGTTGGCATATCAGACCCCCCCCCCCCCCCCCCCCGTGCACCCCTTCAATAGAATGCTGCCATACGCCCGTGCTTCCCTATTGACTTTACACCCATGCCTATATTATTATTAATGCGTTAAGTGTGAATGATCGTTAAATGGCATTTTGTCGGTGTTTGCTTTTATGCAGAATTCTACCTATCTCAAGTCCTGGCCATTGGATGAATTCGCCTCAATATGCATGATAATAATTGTAGAAATAATATTAATGACAATGTTAAATTAGTAATAATAGTAATGATAATGATAATAATAACTACAATAATAATGATGATGGTTAAATAATAATAATAATGATAATAATAATTATAATAATAAGAATGATAATATCATTACTAATGAAGGAAAAGTGTATACAACGCAAACACTTATAGTACGCCATCTATCTAGGAAACTATTCCGGGGCGCATTATGAGACAAGAAGCATAAGAATTCAAAAGGAGAATTACAGTAGGCTAGAGAGAATATTGCACAATTGTGTTGAACTAACTTTATGTACTGCATGCTTTTGAAAAGAGGCACGATGCAGGAAATGTGTCCTAGTAGGGTGGCGCCCTCTCGAGGATATTTGCGACTAGACAACCATCAAGTCATATTTTAGCAGCGGGTACCGCGTAATGAATGCGAAAGCAATCGAAATGACTGAAAAGCATCAGTCACAGTTGAAAAGCAAATTGATTTTCGGGGAAATGTTGATTAAGAACCACTTTAATATTTAAAAAAAAAGTTTACTCTGAAGAACAAAAAATAACCACACTAAAGCGATTTGTGTGTGTTTTATTTTGGGTCTACTTCCTTAAATTTCAAAAGCTAGTAATCAAGATCAAATTGAAAAATACTTTGCAATGACATTGCAACACAAAGTAAACAAATGCATTAATAGTTGTAAGTCACTTAAGGAGAAGGTTGAGTTCTGGGAAGAGGTGAAAATAATTTCTGAGCGTTATCATTGTATTATGCAAGTGGGGAAGAACATCAGATAAACAATGTTCAACTTTATCTTTAAGTCTACACATGAATAACACTTTTCAGGGAAACTGTAGGCAAAAGTGAGCGTTACAGATTTTGTTAAGGTTTGCCTTCATCGTGATATATCAACACCCACCAATAAGTGGATGGGGGGGGGGATGTTTCAAATTGGAGAGAATATTACCACTCATTTTTGTATTCGTTATCAAGGGAAAATTGTAGTTACAGTATTAATAAAGTTCAAAGCCATTTCGAAACGCGTTCCCTCAAAATATTCTTGGGGCAAGAAACCAGGAGGCATATCGTGCAGGACCTGGGGCTAAATCCCGGCCCCCCCCCACTCAGTGTTATTTAGGGTACGCATATGCTCGTACCCTCTTTTTGAAAGCACCCCCTATCTGAGGACTGCCAACATTTCCGAACCCCCCTTTCGCGGGCTTTTTGCGGGCTTTTCCTGCCTTGGAGACCCCCCTAAATCAGGAAAAATGCTCAATGTACCCCCCTAAATTCGGAATAATTTCTCAGGATTCCAAAGAGATGAGAGAAAAAAAGAAAAACACCCCCTTTTTAAAGAAATCTCCGGGTGAAAAGTCAAATACACCCCTTTTTATACAAATCTCGGGCCGGACTTCAGTTTGTCGCACGAAAAGTACCCCTTTACCGGACATTTTGGCAACACGCATGCGGTCATTCCGACCTCTGAGTGGGGGGCCGGGGGCTAAATACATCAATTTGCAAATCCCTTCGCAAAAGGACTGACTTTAATGCCACTTTGCTTAATTAAAATATGTAGAGTCTTATCAATTGCAATAATTATTATTAACTTTAAAGAAGCTTGATAAGTTTGCCAATTTTTTTAGTAGTTTATTTATAGAATTGAATATATTTCGTTCATTCCGACAAGCATTATGGGGCACGAAAAGACAAATTACAGCGAGCCCATCGCGTCGCCCGAATCATGAGGTGATGTGGTTGCCCCCCCCCCCCCCAAAAAAAAAGATGTATTAAGGAGTTCTCAACCCCGAACTACCCCCTTCCTGTATTTTACCCCTACGGCTAGAATAGAGGGCGGTGTCCCATGTCCCATTCTGATAAGTTTTTCCATCAGTCATGACAAAAAAGTTATATGAGATAAACAAACAATATTTTAGATAACGGGTTTTGAGTTTAGTCCTGAAAATTGGGAAATGACAATTATTAAAACTCTTTCGCTGTAAATGATAATGATTACATCATCTGAAAATATCATTTTTATGTAGAGAAATACACGATAAATGAAAAGAACTTTCCCCCAACTCTCTAGATTACCAACCCCATGTACACTGTACATTCTTCATGCAACTTACAA